CCTGTAGATATATGTAGAGATATACAATGAAATTATAGGTCAGCTAATTACGTTATTTTTGTTTCGTCATTATCTCGATCTACGCAATGCAGGTCGACGTAACTTGTGTAACTTCGAAATATTCGATGGGATACACCATACCCAGTACGCGCATAGCAAGAAACAGCCTCGTTCGCACTCGAATCCATAATAGCAACAATGATTATAGTAATATAGTTATTCCTAAAATTATGATTGTTACGGAAGAATACGTGCCAGGCTCATGTTGATGCTTCCTGCATGGGGACCACGCTGTGAACGTTATCATGCAACGAAAGGATTCGAAGCTTTTCTAGTCAGCTTAATCTTGTCAATTGGCATGAGTCAAGAACAACTTGACAGTTGTACTTCTACCAGGTGGAACCAATTTTCTCATTGAACTCATCGTTTGCTTACCATACACAATATGTAAAGAATATAGGTGTTTCCTAACGTGCGGCTAAATGTTAATACGAAATCTCATAGGTACTTTAGGTACAATACAATTGGAAAGATCTCAAGTTTGAAGCTCCTCTAAATTAGAATATACATAACTAACCAATGCTAACCACGTTCGATAAAAAATAACCAGCGTTATTGTTTGAAAAACACGGCTTTTTTTTTTCTCGATTTAGTTAGCTATCCTAATTTACAATAATTATTTTAATTACGGAAATAACGAATTACGAAATCGATTATTAAATTACAGTTGAGCATAAGCACTGGCTGGAGCCTTTTTTTTTTCGGTTTTCTAGCGAAGCTTTAAGGTCCTAAGAACCCGATAAAACCTGTTTAGCGTTCAGCAGTCACCAGCCGTCGTCGGTATCCGATTATGAAAATGTGTGTTTGCTTTTGACAGCATCGACCTCGGCACAAGAATTATTGTTATATGTACAGCAGTAATAAAAAAAAAAAAAAAAAAAAAAGCCGTGTTTTTCAAACAATAACGCTGGTTATTTTTTATCGAACGTGGTTAGCATTGGTTAGTTATGTATATTCTAATTTAGAGGAGCTTCAAACTTGAGATCTTTCCAATTGTATTGTACCTAAAGTACCTATGAGATTTCGTATTAACATTTAGCCGCACGTTAGGAAACACCTATATTCTTTACATATTGTGTATGGTAAGCAAACGATGAGTTCAATGAGAAAATTGGTTCCACCTGGTAGAAGTACAACTGTCAAGTTGTTCTTGACTCATGCCAATTGACAAGATTAAGCTGACTAGAAAAGCTTCGAATCCTTTCGTTGCATGATAACGTTCACAGCGTGGTCCCCATGCAGGAAGCATCAACATGAGCCTGGCACGTATTCTTCCGTAACAATCATAATTTTAGGAATAACTATATTACTATAATCATTGTTGCTATTATGGATTCGAGTGCGAACGAGGCTGTTTCTTGCTATGCGCGTACTGGGTATGGTGTATCCCATCGAATATTTCGAAGTTACACAAGTTACGTCGACCTGCATTGCGTAGATCGAGATAATGACGAAACAAAAATAACGTAATTAGCTGACCTATAATTTCATTGTATATCTCTACATATATCTACAGGGTAAGTTGGTTTTTTTGATCATATGTCTGATTGAATGGCTAATATCGATTCAATGAATAACAAAAATATCCGACTACGTAACCTGACCAATATAAACCATCAGCACTACTCTATTTATATGCGTCAAAGTGTTCAGAGATGTGATTGGACCCCTGTATCTCGTGCCGTATGAACTTGAACTTATGCCCCTGAACCCACAAGAGCCACAGTTATTCCTCCGATTCGGCTCTTGTAAGACATTCCAATTCACTCCCTATTTAGACCCGCCAACTTTCCCTTGAAGTACACAATAGTTGTGGGCATGGATAAAGGTGCCCGGGGCTATCGAATTGGGCTGCCAGTATAGATACCATAAATTGACTGAGAGTAAGCATCAGTTGCGCGCCTGTGCTCCCATCAGAGGCGTATACTCCATGTGATTTTCACGTGTTCGTCGAAGTCTGCCAACAACATTTGCATACGAATGTTTTGCAAGATGCTTAGACGGCCCGTTGACCTTTGGGAATTGTTGTAGACCTTTTGCCAATCTCCCTTTCTAGCCTCCCAGTTTGTCAGCATCTATCTGTATATCCCTATGACAAGCTACGCTGCTAGCCTGGAACGGGCTCTGTTATCCGTCGGTACTTACGAGACGGACTTGTTGGATTCGCCTTTGAGGGAGTTTGCACTTCGCTGGTTCGGTGGCTCGCTCTTGCTCCGATGCTGCAAGGCGTATTGTCTGGAATAACAACGAACACAATTAGCATGCTCCAATAGCAGCAGTACGGATCACCAAACGGGTACCTTTACCACGATAAGTCGTTACGTTTGTTGGGTTACTGCTGCTGTCGATGCTATTAGTTAGCTGGCTGGGCTTGCTGTAAAAGTTGCATCTATTCCAGGGTTGAAGAAAACTCAGTTGATCTCAGCTATAAAAAAGTTCAGTTGATAAAAAAAAGATAGGTACTTTACGTCGATCTTAGCTCCTTCGGTGGTTAAGAATATATATATGTATATATATATTTCCGAATCCTTGTTATGCTTTTGACAACGTGCCTCAAAAATACCCAACGTAACTATTCGAAAAAACCGTACAACACTAAATGTGCGTATTTGTTAGATGTGGCCACAGTAAAAACAAAACGCGAAGTTTGCTCGGCCGTTCAGATCCACTGGTTCTAGGACAAAGTAAATTTTTTATTTATTCTTCCCACAATAAACGTGTATTTCCTCGATTTTTCCCGAAATGCCCATAGGCCATTTTGCAGCTAAATCCTCCATGATACCTGTATTCTGGTGGAAGTGCTCCGAGGATTTTCAGGCGTCCGGCCATGCCGTCACCTGGTTCGTCATCAAAGATAGACCCTGCAACGGACATTACAGCAGTTCTGGGTGATAGTCAGACAGTAGGTCAGTGTCGTTGCTAGGTTCCAAGACAAGCGCTGGAAACGTTCGCATAAAGGATTTACCAGATCGTTGAAAGAACTAAACTCTACGTTACGGAAATGTACGTATGCATTATCTGTGACACCAGCTCTCGAAAGGCCTTAGACTTTGCAGCTAAGGATGGTTTTCTTGATCGCAAAAACATGTTACGATGTTGTCCAATTTTGTGGGTGTGCACACCTTTAGTAGATTATTTTCTGACTGTTTTAAAATCGTAGCTGCAATTATGAGGAGTTTTTGGGAAAAAAAAAACAGTTTATTTCAATTCTCAGTTTGATGACCAACCTGAACGCCAGCGGAATAGCTTATGACGACGTCGAGGATTGAACGGGCAGCCCATTTCGCTCATCAGATGAACCTGCAGAAAAACCGAAATAGAAAGAACAGCGAAAGAAAAATATGGAAAACCATTATGTCTTAGACAACGAGTGAGGACATTGTAGCAAAGCAAAGAAACGAAAAAATGAAACACATTTACACAATAAATACAACCAGGTTCAGTCAACTCATGAGATACAAGACACCACGGTCGGATCCAAGAGAGGAATTGAGCAGGACCGAGAAGCAGGACAAAAACGATTCAGAAGGCCATAGGAGTAGGATCACTCTTCAGTGACCTTCATGATCCCAATTTGGCAATAGCCAAAAAAAGGCGAGCGGGTAATACGTTTTTGTAATACGATTATATTTTCACTGAGCTGTTATATTGGATAAATTTATTAGGTAGTGAACTGGATTAGACACAGTCCGCTCATCGGGGTCGTTACGATGACCAAATGTATCAAGTTCTACCGTAGAGCCTGGTGAAGAAGGCCACTTACTACTGAATACACACAATACATTGACGCTGATGTTCTTGACAAAGAGATATACGAACTCCTACATTCAAATTTATAAAAATTAACTATGCTCCCGTGTTTACTTGATATTTGTATGCTCAAACACGTTTATTATCGAACGTTTGGTACATTTTTATGAGTTCATTAGGCGTCAGCACTCTCAATTATAGTCTCGGCATGTGTATACCTTCTCGTATTGATCGATCCCAGACTATACAACTGGGTAAAAATGAATGTGTTGAAAATAAATGCAGTTATTAATTGTTTTACACTATAGTTCTATAAATATTAAGAACAATAGGTAATGATAATTTATATCGCTTATTCGAACCGGCCAGTATTATATTTTATAAATCAGGTTCGAAACATTTCGTAGTTTAAGAAGCCCGCCAAAATCAAATTGGATTACTAGAATCACCCGTATAAATTGATGTCTACGGTAGATAAGTGTATGAGATAGGTATTATTTATTAGAAACCAAGCTTACCTTCCAAGCTTCTTCGCCCGGTGGGAAGTTCTGATGGCATAGCGGACAGTGATTTGCCTGGTTCGGTGGCTTTGCCGCTAAGCAGACGAAACGTATCTCTACTGTTATTATACGATACAAAACACTGAATCGTGTCGTTGGATCTGTTGCGTAACGGTTAGATAGGACGTACAAGGAATATGTCTTGAATGAAATCCCGCCTATAGTCGATCCATTATTTCGGCTCCCATATTCATATCAGAGCTACGGAGCAAATGTTGCTTTTCATAACTACTTCCTTTCGGTACTAGCCGCCAGAAGCCAACTTTTCCCCAGACTTTTTAGCACTTAGCCCACAACGCTATCTAGGCACCTGGTGTGTGTCTTTAATAGTAGCTCTATATGACCCCCAACGCTCAAGCAGACAAAGCTCTCTTAATGACAATCTATGAAAGTCGCTCTGAATCGCAGCAAATTACGACAGCTGTCTATCAATTGAGAATGAAACAAAAATATCAGCACTCGTATAGATAACTTCAAAGGTGGATTTTGTCGAGGTGCGTACAGGGTGATTACAAAACCCCCCAAAATTGCCATGAGCTTGCAGAAGTTGGAAGCAGAAAAAACGATCAAGTGCATGCATTTCTTTCATTGACTTGTCGAAGATCAGCGGTATAACAAGCTTTGCATTAAGCAATTAAAATCGTATGTCATCAACTAATATTTGTTATTACGGGATACAATATATGTCGTATTGCATCTGTATCGAAGGCTCCCTTTAGTGCATCCACGTCCGTGGATTCTGCCTACTACTTGCTAGTATAACAACCTTGTAGGACGTTTGCTTTAAACAAAGTTACGCTTACGTATACAAGTTCGCAATTTGACGTGACCCTCGAATCGGTTCTTTGGTATGGCTTCCTTGCAGCGAATACAGAGCTTATATTGTGATCGGTGGCTGCATTCATCAAGAAGATGTCGAGTCAAGCCTCCGATTTCGACGACCTGCAAATTGAAAAGAAGAACGTGACTCAATCCATTAATATCTTCCAACACAGCGGAAGAAACAAATGTAGGTTTCACGAGAACGTGTATTGTACGTGAAGCAGGATGTCGGCCATGTTGGATTTGTCAACTGTTGGACTCATTTGTTAATACACTGTTGAATGTAAGCCTCGTACTTTATCAACAAAGCCAAAAAATAATTTCGAATAATTAACAGAACGGCACTTACATATAACAGGCACATAACGGCACATAACAGAACTTCTTGTGGATTAGGCGGCTATTAAGCATTCATTTGGTGTAGTTCAGATTAGTTTTGAAAGGCTATTGCCGCATTTCGTAATACGCTAATTCCAGTACAGAATAGATACCATAAGCAAATCTTTGAGGGCAGAAAGCACACGTTACCCCATTTTACCTCTTATGCCACATCTCAGCACAATTAATTAACATTTTCGGAGCGTCAATTACGCGATCAACTTTGTTGCCTCAAAAAATCTAAGTTCAAGTGATGAAAGTTTGATGATAGGTGCACCTGTCAGTGACCTTCGGATTGACGCAACCGCTTCGAAGTAGACCGAAATAAGTTAGATTCTATGGACATGATTTAGGCGTTGGTATACACAGTGTACATATCATCATGACACACAGCCCTGCTTTATCAAGCTCGCCACAGCAAAGTTCCCGAACTCATAGGTATGATCTTTGTTGCTACGCTAGCATAAGCAACAACATAGTTACAAGCATCAAAAAGATATAGGGAAGGCAAAAGATCTGAGTAGTCTTTCCCTTCAAATGATTACATATTTCATACTGAAATCAGCTATTAAAAATAGCCCGCTCCTGTGATTCGTGTGTTAGCACAAGCCCCTTTCCATGATTTCGCGAGCTTATGCAATATCGCTATGTTATCACAGGATATTAACGGATCCTTTATCATAAACGTCTTCGAACCTAGCAAAAAAGACGATACGGAGAGCAGATGCACTGCTATCTCAGTGTGCTCAAGACGGTACTGTCATACAGTATAATAGAGTTCGTTCGTACAGGCATTGAAGATTAGACGCTCGATACAAAAACTTTAATGAACGCAGGCGCATTATAGACATCGATGTTGTCGCGAGTTACGCCGTACTGAATACTAATTCGAATTCAAAGGTTTCGATGGAGGTCAACGAAAGGGGGTTGCAGTGTCAGCTGCGAGTTCTCACTCATAGGTAGTGCTACGTCGTTGTTTCAATAGTTGATCCGTTACTTTCATCTTTCAAACTTCCTTCGGGCAGCATACAACGAGGTTTTCTAAAAAGCTTTATATGATGTAACAATGCATCTAGCTAAGAACACATTGCGACGTCACATACGACGTTCGGAAGCTGAGTCGAACTAGCTTTTCATCCGTGATCAATTCGCTGGCTAAATTAATCTTGGCTATCAAGTATTCAAGGTACGTATTTTATAAAATGGAATTTAATAATAATTACCTATAAAGCTTTGATACTATAATAATAAATCTTTTTCAATCATACATTTTTAACGTAGCAGAAAGACATACGTAGTTATCACCGTTGCAGCTCCGACAAGCTGTTCGCCCATAAAGGTATTATTCCATTAAGCATACGTTAGTTTGTTAGCGACAACCTTAAAGGCCTTCGTTAGCATGGACTGGCCTGATTATTCTTTCGCTAAATGAAAATGTGAACATCATTCGTCTGTCGCGCAAGAATGGTCAGGCACTTTTTTAGACCTGCTAATTAGAAACAAACGAAAACGTGAACGAAACGTATATAATAAACTTACCTGCTTGCAATTGGGGCATAGCATAAGCATGGGGCACTCCGTCCAGTAGTGGTAGTTAAGGGTTTCTGCATTGAAGCGTTCGTTGGTCTCTTCGCAAAACATGCACATTCTGAAAAACAGGTCAAAGCGGACGCAAATCAATCGATCGGTCTCACCTAAAAAGGTCCACTGCAAATTCGAATTTTAAGGTCTCTGTAACATTATTTAGAACCGAAATTATTTCATAAGCCTTCTTCGCATTGAGCCGTCGACTAGCTACCAACGAGCTAACCGATTATTAACAGATGCTTCTGGCATAAATTATGCGACATGTATTTTAACACGAGGGAGATCTGATTACGTAAAAAATAGATTGTTATTAGTTGGAAGAAATAACACAAGTAAAGAGAATTAAACGATGCTATGAAAATAAGGTTCGGCCATTACTTTTAGGTCTGAATCGATTTCAAATGACTGCTTGTTGCGTAACTCGCGCTAGATGAATACGAGTATATTTACAGCAGTTTGTTTCCGAGTGCTAGAAATGTGGTGCGGGTTGAAAGGATAACAAAAAAAACATCATGTTGCAACAATTTTAAGCGATCAATAGGGGTTCATTGATTTCCAGACATGTCGACTCTCTCGCTTCAAATGTGTATATATATATATATATATATATAAACAAAGCATGATTTAGAGTAAAGCTTTGTGTCTGTACGGTAGTGCCGAGCTATTAGAGGTCATTAATCCTCCCTAAGATTCCTTCTACTAGGACAACCTTCGAGTCTTCTCATCTGGACGCGTTGTTGATCGCTTCTGCGAGATAATTGATGAATTGGACATTGGTTATGAGGGCAAAGTTCAAGGTGGCCATTTGATGAACTCTAGCTGACCAAACTGGCTGAATCAACAATCCCCATCCTTATTTCTCTTGTAAAGGCTTTTTCCAGCAGACGTGAAAAAACGTATTGTCTATCGTGTGCGTGCGAAAAATCGCCAGCCATTGGAGCTCCCCGAGGACCGCTTGACCGCAATGGTTAGCCGCCGCGTAGCATCGCGTTGGCAACTGTTTAACACCCGGTTGCGTGACCAATCCTCGTTTACAGTTTATCCTAGTTATTTGCACCCTCATCCCTCCTACTACTTTTCGCAACCGCATACGTTTTTTTCCTGTACTGCACTATCGCTGATCCTAGAGCAGTGGAGAGTAGAAAGGGAGGTTTTAGGATCGAGTTGGTCGCCAACAACAGCAAGAACTGAAATAACGGCGGTCTCAACCCCAATAACGGCAACGAAATTTCCACAACACTTAAACGAGCATGCTTGGAGATTTTCTTCGCGTCTGCTGGGGCGATTAAGCGATTATATGTAGTATTACGGCGTCTTAGTATGAAGCATTCGTTGACCTGCTATATTAAAACATCTACTACTCGGATGACTTATGCTAATATTTACGGTCGAAATCTGAGCGTAACACTTTTTGCTTTAAGGGCACACAGGGTGTCGTCAAGAACGTTCTCCCCTCTGTTCAGTATGTGCTGACAGACAATGCTTGACCCACTGCGCCCGTAAAGCAGTTTCCCAGTAATCATCCTTGACCTTTTTCGTTTCATAAAATGCCGGAGAAATAAATGAAGATAGCATCTAATCGTACGTTTTAGCTGTTAATCTTCGTATACTTGTGGCTGTACTTTACATATTTGTACTTGTTATTAATAGGTAATCTGTTTTTTTTTCTAGCTATGTGTTATCAGATTTTCACCATTTTTCGTTGTATATATTTTCGTATGAACTGCCAAATATATACAACTAGATTCAAAAATAAACGTCATTGTTTATCGCGCCGTAGACGCCAAGTCGCTGACCACTTCGTATAACTAAATACACGCGCGATGAGTTCGCGTTGTTTGCTACAATTAATAGTACTGCCGCACATTGAATGACTCCGCCAGCTGGAAAAGTACGTCAACCTAGGCATTTTCCTTTTGCTTTCAGGAGCAAATAGAACGGAGTGCAATTACATTGATTCCACTTTTACAAGCCGCGCATTTCAGAGGTGCACCTCGTAACCTTTGATACACTCCGTTGTACATAACACTGGATCGCGTCCGTGGTATCACGCTTGTTACCTAGCAACAAAAAGCAAGATGGCGAACTAAGGACAAGAAGCTCATGTTAACAGATGGTGCCATGCAAAGAGAGGTCCGCTTTCACACAAAGCCGAAACTAACTCTGCTAACTAGCCTGAATAACACTGCACCAACTACACAGGATTTATTTATGATTGCTATACGTCCGATAAGAAAACATAGATATGCTATCAAATGTTATTATCAGTTCGGTCTCTGTTGACTGTTATACGTTGCCTATGATTACCAGCCTACCTACCTTAAATAAAACCAGTTAACTAGGACAAGCATGAAACCATGTGTCATGTTTATTCTAATTTCATAAGACTCTTGCCTGTTTCATGTTCTCGTTGTCCGCCGGCAATATTTCCTTTAAATCGAACTGGGATCGTCGAGTTCGTGTCGGAAATCCAGCGAGAATTTGAATTAGCCAACCAAGCTAACATTAGTATCAAGAGGCAAAACATCATTCGCTCGCACGTAATATAACCTACTTCAGCAACCTAAGTGAACTGGCTCAAGTCAATAAAATGGTATAACTTTATGACACAGCGTAAAATAATTCAGAGGAACGCGTCTCGGTCGTCCAAGCCGCACTACGACAAGTTTCAAAACTAGTAGGTCGTAATAAATAGTCAAATCGATCTTTTCCACCGAGTGCCTAATTTTTTTGCTATTTCTATTTCTGTTTAGGGTTCGACCAAAAGTAATGGTCGCTGCATTCGGTAGTTAGTTGCGTACGGCCATTTAGGGCCGATAGTGGAGGCAAAGGATTGTCAGAGTCATACGCCGTCGGACGCGCGCAGCTGGTATAATTGCGTATTGAACAGGCTGGTTGTGGTGATGGCGTTTCGGTGCGGTAATACGTCAGTGCGGCAACAGAGCAATGTACGGGCCCCGACAAAAAGTTAAAAGAGTTGAAGCGCGTCGGAGTGTCGTGGGTAAGGCAAGACAAGCATAATAGAAAAGTCAGGAACACCCGCGGGGAAATAAAACAACTTAGTTAGAATTTAGGCATATATTCTTTGATCCACAAGTTCAGAGTCGGCCGACACGCGGTGAAGGACATCTTGGTTTAATTACGACAAGTTATAGTACTGCACGGTAATTGGGCGATAGCGTGGTAGCTCCATTGTAACCAATGCAGCCAATAACACACAGTAACGAAACAAAGCCCATACAAAAATAGCTCCATGCCAACCAATGGGTGGATGACTAAAAGTTAATTAAAACACATTCCATAATACCTGAATCTAAAGTTGCTCCTGAATAAAGGATACTTCTAAAGATTAGGTGAGTCGTAATGTCGGTAAAACAAATAAGCAAATTGATGAGTCATCGCCGGCGTCAATTTGTAAGCGATATGTTATTGTTTTCTTTTTTGTATTTGCCAAACATTTGACCGAGTACGCGGCGCTTTTTCCATTGCCATTATGGGCCATGCATAGATGAGCTCTATATATAGGTACCAATTAAGTTACGATTGTCAATACTTTACAGAGCAAGGCCGAAGCGCTTTCGTCGCCGCACCGTCCATCCATAGCCTATTTGGTAGTAAACCCCTCGAGAGAGTTACGAATTTTGGATCTTTTCTACCATACACATCATTGTATTGAATAATTCAACTTGTTCACAATTGAGTTCTGCCGTCATTTTTGTCATTTATTCCCAGTCGCTCTTTCCCAGTGGCGTAGGAAATGGTTGACAGCAATAGACGTGACTGCACTTTTCGTCGAGCTGGAAATTCCGACATCCCTTCACAATCCCTCGTAGGGCTCGAATAATGCTATCGAACCGTTACGTGTATTGCATATTGACCGGCACAAATTATTGGGATGCCTATGGGCTTGGCGAGCATCGTAGTTCGCTAGATACGAACTACGATGCTTGCCAAGATGTAGAAGGGAATCGACTGGGAATTGGTTAGCAAGTACTATCGCATAACTGGAGAACACCTGGTGTCTGGCAGGGAGTTCCGATGGGGTTGTGATGAGACCCCATCTTCTTCACGGTTCTTTTATGAGATCTGTTCGAGCATATTTGCTCATATATCGAAACACGAAAGGCCTATTAAATTATACGTGACCTCCACACGTTTTCACACGTCTGTAAAGCGGTCCGTGGCAATGCGACAGTTGTCGTTTATTGTATAAACCCAAATTACTATTGACGTTATTGTTTTTAAAAAGCGTTTTCTTCTTCTTCAAAATAGATTATACGTTACACGGGTCATAGGCTAAATGGGGCTATTTTTTTCGGCATGTTATTACACGTCCAAGTCAATTCCTCTTTGCAACGTTTTGCCGAAATCGTTCGAGCCATGTATTTGTCAACTTTTTTCCTAGATGAGACTTCATTGTTCCTGGTTGTCTCCTAGCTAGATGCTATATATCTCAACTGACACGACGCCTGCCGCCAGTCTCATGAATTGCTCGCACACTGTGCCATTTTGGTTGCCCTTAGAGATTATACGAAGCCTTTCATTACGAATGGATCAGAGTGAATAAAAGAACCATAAAATGGACCGAAGTTTACTATCTATCCTAGGACAAAAAGGATAGATAATACCATCTTTGAACCAGACAGCATTCGACCGTACGAGTAATACGAAATCAGCTGAAAGAACATATCAAACATGTCTCCGTTGTACAGTTTCAATTTAATTAGACGTTGATTGTTTATAGGAATTATATACATGTTCCCATTTGGTGATAAGACGTTTCTTGATCTGGGCCGTTTGACGAGAAAAACATGCAAGCCTAGGGATTTTTCGCACACGCATAAGGTTACCATATTCTGTTGCGTACTTGGTTTATATAGTATTGGATAATAATAACTTAGGGGCAATCGCTTGTTTAACTCCACTTGCGGATAACGTCATAGCTGATCTTGTGTTCCACCTTTTCCAGTGATGTTTAACAAATGCTCTGTTTTTAAAGTAAATTTACATCTATCAACCAACCCTTTTCCCAGCATAGCTTAGTACAATCAGGCAATTTCCTTGATTTAGTTATCTACGTGGACATCACTGAGCCATCAAAGCTTTAGTTCTAGAGAGAACCAATAAAAATTTATTATTATACTGGCTCATAAATATTACGACGATTAAAGCAGTCATCTTTTTCGTGCACAAATTAATCTCAAACTACCCATTCTCAATCGTTACTCAGCGTAAAAGGGCCAATACCATCACGGCTTGAAAAGTCTCTCTTCACATTTTACGCTTTTCCGTGTTTATGATCTCGCGCGTATATCGCAAACTCATGCCACCCAGCCACTTGTAACGAAATTCTAAAAAACAAGCCGCATGTATGAAGTCCTGACACTAAATTGAAGTAACACGACCCCAAGAGACAAGTCGAAACAGCGACAAGCGAGAAAGGGGTCCCAAATGGCAAGACTAAATGCCTCGCTATATGGCAACAACATAATTGGGTGGAAATTAAGGAACCCGGCGTCTTTCTCTTGTTCCAGCTCCATACGACTGTGTTCCGCTACTGAACTTCTCAAGAATTTGCTGTTTACCATCTCGCCGTTTCGCTCATTGTCTCCTTATGCCTCCCTTATTCTATGAGCGTACTATGGCTGGCTAGCAACTTCAGAAGCAAGGACCTGATGTGGCCTGAAGGAACGACGGATAGCCAAAAAACTAGCCAATCTTGCTTCGGCAGCTGTAATGGTGACTTCTTTATTCTATACGCACATATTATTTAAGCGCCGCAGAAAAACGATGATGCTGTGACTAGAGAGACGCTGCAGTAGCCGCCAAAGTAACGAAGTTAACGTTGAAGGTGGAATGCGGACGTGAGCAGGCTCTGAGCGCTAAGTGCGCAGAAAAGACAGCTAGGAATAAACGGGACTGAAAAAGAGTGGCGGAAGGCGCCGATGGCAGGACTGTGGCGGGAGGGAGGGTTTATTCCGTGGTGGATATCTGGAGATGTTTACATTGAAAATCGAAAACAGCCTAGGCAAACCTCGGGTATAAATAGCACGAATTCAGTTATAAACGATAACTTCGCAGATGTGCACCTTACGCGGTTTGAAATTGGCCCTAGAAGCAGGATTGTTCACAATGAAGTTGGAGCCCATGCGTAGAGGATAAAAGAGGCAATAACTTCTTTCACTCTATTTGTTTGACTACCATTTAATATGGGCGTACCTCGTGCGCCACCACAATAGACACTTGCAACCCCGATCATCGTCCTCTGCTAAAGTCCTCAGCAAAAACAAAAATGGTAAAACAGATTATTTTATATAAAAATAGTAATTATTTATTAACATTCTAAGTAAAAGTGGTCCTATTTTATAAAGTGAACGTTCGGGTCTGTGCATATGCTCGTACAGAAACTGACGTATCGTTAATGAGATGCATCTATACAACTATCGATCTCATGGTAAATCGGCGAAATCGACAGAAACCTATAACAGATTGCCGCATTTGCGAAATTGACAAATGTCGGGTTTGGTGAAATCCTCTACTTCAAGGAGCGTACGTGAAAGGAACAATTGTATCGTGAGTTTTCTTCTGTTGTACATTGAATCTGCACACAATCTGCGATACTATGCTATAATGCATTCTAGTCTATGTACGACTGCAGCCTTTAATAGCTTGTCTGCAGAATCCATCTCACAAGCTAGAATGACACATACATTCTCTAACATAGGGAGTGCAGTATCGAGACATTGCCGTATACTCGCTATATCTCAAGGAAAAAAAATATTTTCATTCTTCTTCGGAAAAAAATAACCCTACAGATAAGTAAGCCTAATTAAAGACTCAGTGAATTAATTCTAAGCCCGTATCGAAACACATAAATATATGAAAATAAACTTAGCTATATTTCGATTACGAAACATTGCTATACCCTAACAAAAAAAAAAGATGATTGAGGAATAATGGACAATTATCCTTCAAAAACGCCAAACTCGAAATTGATTTAGTTTTTTTATCATTGACATAATACTGCATGCATACTTCATACTTCACATGATTTACGAAAATGTAACAGTTGCTTATAAAAACATCAAAGCTGAGCATTATATTTGCTAATACTAGACATATTTGTAATGTTTGGTCAGCATCGTGTTTTTTTTTTTGAAAAATTATGAAAACTGACCCGAAGACTCACACTTGAAGTCAACGAGGCAATCGACAAGCAACATACCGCCGGACGAATCAAGTCTTACCGATCAAGATCAAAGTGAACTCCATCCTGGGGTCCTGTTCCGACGACGCTAACATCGCCGGTAGATAGAGACTGGCTGGAGGAGCCAAGAACTCCCCCGTGCCCAGTTGCTGGCGGTTCAACCGATGCTGAGCGGGCTCGTCGTGGCGGCCGTGTAGCCGATAACGTCGTGGGTTCGCGGTCAATTTTTTCGAACTCTTCAAATACTTTCCTGCAAAATCGAAACGCTTAGGAGTTCAAGTATCTGCGCATACTGGCAAATAGATATGCAATTGGTAGTCGATAGTTTTTAAACTCTACAGGATCATAACTTGCTCTCGATAATAAAATACGTATATAAAAAATGCAGTGTAAAAAGCGAAAATTACAATATGGGCGTAGGTGTCGTACGCCAGCCTATGTTTACATGAATAATTGTTAATCTGGCCGCCGTTCGTTGGATAGACGCTTATTTAAATCTAATCTCAGCATTGGTTGTTACTCCAGTCGCTCAGTATGAATCCAATGTTACGAATTCTGGAACTTATTTGATGGCCTACTCAAGTTATGCTCTAGCTGAGTGTAGTTATACTTAGGAGTATAATCGTAAAAGAATTAGACCATATTCAGTACAGGACGAAAATGTGCTAGCAACCGTAAAGCAATGTATGCACCTCATGGGCAAAATTATCGCTAACTAGCAAGTTTTATCAAGCGTTCACCCAAAATATCTGAAGTTCACTCATTTGATAGATCAGATGAGAATATTTTATCGTGTCAGAGTTACATCAGGCATATTTGTTTGCAGCATTAAATTCAGTTGTTGTGAGGCGGCCATTTATTCGTTTAATGCCTGTGTGATAATAAATTCTGGCGAAGGTTCCTGTGAGTAACGATATGTTTTCACACCATGAATGGGAAAAAATGAAAGTGTGCTTTTTAGCCTGCCTTAGAGCTACCAGAATATCTACTGTTGCATGGCTCTGCCTAATCTTCAGTCATGCCTTTATGTGTATTCATCGGCATTGAGCCACTCGCAAAACTCTGAAGCCTCGAATATAAGGTCTTGGTAGGGACCTAAAGATCTAACGACGAGTTTTCCGTTACTTGTATTGCTATACAATGAATTAATCAAGTCGCCTGTTCAGCCTTCTCGATCGTCTACTTAAGAGAATATGACTCACAAACAAATTAGAGACCTTCCAATTGATCACGATCACGTACCTAACTATCGAGGCTTCTAGCTTGGAAAATGTATGAATCCTTTATATGGCTTATCAGTCGCTCCTTCTGCCAGAGTGGACTTCAACGAAACAACGAAGTTAAATTCTCACATTAAAAATTACTATGTCTGGTGATGCGTAAGACAAGTATCGACAAAAATACGTACTGCATGCACGCAACAGAATGCAATAAGGTTTCGGGCGCTGATCGTATTCCAATTTGCAAGGCCCTTGCAACAGCTTAAACCTCCTTATGCTGCGAATGATTGCTCTGGCTCATCCTTAAACCACCAGAATAAAACGAAATCAATAGATTCAATCGTACCAGATAAACTGTCCAGCCCATTTCCCTTTTTTGTGTCGTCGATAACAACGATTCAAGGTAATTCGGCGATAAATAAACCCACCCACTACTGAAGAGCAATTTTAGCCAATAAAAAAATCGTTAGATAGATTCAGCTCTTCCCGCTGCCTTTATCGTATCTGTTCATTTAAAACTAAACGTACCGTGTATGTACCGAGGTGTATTTCAACCCCAATCTCATTCTAACCTCGCCCATTTTTGCAATTAATTTCTTGGCTGGGCTCTTCCCATTCGCGCTAGCATTCTCAGCCGGAGAGAAAGATGAAAACTTTGATTTACCGTGCTATTACCCCATGTCTTTAACCTGGTCAGGCCCTGCACATGGTCGTGCTGCTCCGATAGAGATTGTGACTCAGGTGCATTCGTAGACACTCCCATTGCATCGCCATCTTACCGCCGCTTAAAAGCACAGCCTCGCCAATCTTAAGGTAAATTCGTAAAGAGTTGTTGAAATCAGCCGAATGTATTTGAATCGTTTCGGTGGGGTATCTCACTGCGTAGAGGCCGTAGAGATCTTCTTCACTCAATGACCGGCTAGCCGATTCGAAAGAAGCGCTACTCGTTTACAGTCAAATTTTAACTATTTACTTTGCGGTGATCAAGTCGATTGCATAGAAGGCTAAAATAAAAAGAGGCTGAACTGAAAATTGCAGTAATCGGGTGATTGAAACGCTGAAAAAGATGCTGGCTAGCAGCATCACCATCGAGCACCGTCATCGTCCAATCATATTTGTCATATCAAGGCACTGTAGGATTACATAAACTACGTTTGCCAATTGCTATGTTTACGTATTACTGAATGCGTTATTTTAAACTTGAAGGTATAAACGATATTTGCTCATAAGGCCTTGTTTAAGCAATTACTGCTTGCATTAAAGTTCATTGTGTTAATGTGGTCCATGTCCAAGCTTTCTAGACTTGTGTCGTGAAGACTCCGTAAGTAAGTTACTCTTCTTCAGGGACATACCGTTATATTGACGATTAAGATTTTAAGACATTATACTTTCGTGTATTCTTTCTACGACGTAGACATAGCGAAGAAAAACCCTTTATCAGCCCTACGCGCGTAGGTAAAATTCTATGAGGTTCTTGTCTTGCCCCATGTTTTAATGATGCCGCGAACATTATCTGTTCTATAGAATCTGCAGGGTCATAGTCAACTTAACTAGAATTCATTATACCTACTGGTAGGCAAGTTCGAAGGAGCGTACACGAGATTCCCCTGCCATTCGGTTATCCCCTCTCCTATTGGTGATAATCTTCTGCAGCTCCTATTTCCATACCCCGTCTAGACGAGACATTTCCCTGAAGAAGTCATATCGGAATGAACTCCGTCGTCCGCTGTCCGAAACCTGACTGCATAGAATATAATGTGAGACGCTGTGTTGACTCGTTACTGCACAAAAGTTCGATTGCGGAAAGACAATGATTATTACTAGTTTTATTCCATGCACCTCCCCCTCGCTGTTTTACCAGCTGTCTTGCCATTGTGTTATGTATCGTGCCATATCAAACTAGCTACCCGCAGTGTACAAAGAGCATTTCCATTCCGTCAGCAGCTCGTATGATACACAGGCCTGATCTGGTTTTATATATCCGTATAGTAGTAATACTTTTGAAGGCACGACACATACGTGGTCCGTGGCACGACCTATACACACGTAAATACCATTAGCATACAGGCACACTGAGGGACCCAATGCGAAATTAAAGGCCCAGAAGGTGGGCCGAAGCTTCGACGAACTAGACCTGAGGATCGAAATTTTTTAATCTTCTGTTACGATAACTTCAGACAATGTGAGGACAGCGAAAACGACGCCGCGTCGTTGGAAAGACAGGCAACGCCGAAACGGAGGCTTCTGCCAATTGAAAAAGACATTAGAAACAACGACAGTGGACACAGCGTTTGGCGTATCCGGCAGTAGCGCACTGCTATAGAGAACGGGTAGCGTCCATATGGACTTTTATAAGTATCGTAGACTGTTTGGTTTTCTGACGGAGCTTTTTGAAGCTGCAAGCTGACGTCTTCGTTTATACAGCGCGTCTTCTGCGACTGGCGACTAAACGGCGATAAACACGAGAATTGCCAATTCATTGGCAAAGACGCCGTCGGCCTGAGAACGTCACTCGTGTCACTACAGCGTTAAATTATTCCGCATTCGAAGAAATATTTGTTATCAATTTGTTGTCGTCGATTATTAATATCGCCCGTAGGTGGTTCATGTATTGTTTGCAACAGGGTATATGGAGTGTGTCGATAAAATGGCTTTTATGTGTTCAAGCCTATGCTGATTGCGGCGGAGATGTATCATTGAACAGTTATTGAATTTGATTGTCTGTTGAACTTTTTAAAATTTATATTGTACTTTAGAAGTCTATTAAATTAATTTAAAAAAAAAATTGGCCAACGCTATAATACCACAAAGCGTTGTAGAACGCCTACTCGGCAGAAATTACTGTTGATGTCTCTTGATGGTGACAAACTTTTGGAAAACAAGAAGGGAATAGGAATAGATAGGAACAGACGGAAAACGTAATTAACGTCAACGAAGGTCACAATTATAGGGATTAGTATCACCAGGAAAAGTTTTATACGCAGATCGCGTCGGAAAAGATTGTGCCTGCAGATGACAAGCTTACGTTCGATGGTAATTAAGATATACTGCTATAGCGTTGATGCGATCGGGGTTTGAAGCGCCAGAAAGGTCAGGGAAAGAACCTTGTGAAGGTCGCGAATATATCTCTTGAGTTCGTCTCTCCCCTGTTAGCTTCCTCGTGCGGTGGTACAAATACGTCTAAGGCTCTTTATGCTGGTTTCTAAAGCGATGGTCGGAGATGGCTCTCATAAGGGATGACACTAAAGTGGCAATGATGCGGGTTACCGCTGGTTTTGGCGTCGCCATCATATTGCGTCTCGCTAATGGTGTTCTTATAATGAGCCTCAACGTCATCCACAGTAAGGCCCAGCGAAGCTTGCCGTTGTGACACCGGTAAGCCGGTCAACGAGAGCCGACCATTGGGAGTGAGAAAGCGGCTGGTTATGCCCCATATATCTGGACACGCCATATGGTGTGCATATATCAACGACGTCCGAACAAGAACATACAAACGGTCATGCGGCCAATAATATTAAGCACTCGACGCTCTCGATTGAAATAAAGACACGTCCATTTTAGGCACACCGTCTCCGTCTGCCTCCAACGAATTGATAGCACAAGGACGCAAACAAGAATTATAGCCCAAATAGCTAACGCGAACCCACAAAAGTCGTTTTCGGTTTTTTATATCTACTATACACATCCGTTCCCATATGTGAAAAGGTTTTTTTTTTTTTTTTTTTTTTTGTATTTTATGTAATTATCATAATAACTAATTCATTATGACATTTAAGTCAGACATAAAATGTCAGGGGTTAGCTTCAAATGTTTATTGTTTAACTCAAAGCTATGTTCTCTAATCGCATGTATATGAAGTTCTTCAAGTCTACATATGAGCCTGCGATTGTGTTTGAAACGAATATTTTGCATATTATTCACAAGTCCATAAACTCTATCAGGTTTGCAAGCTTTCCAATTTTTTTTCTGTTTTTTTTTTTGTTCTGCGTTCTGTTTTCTGTTTGGGCAAAGTTTCTCGAAATACTTTAGCGTAAGAACCATAATCGATTTCAACGTACCACTGCCCCAAGTACTTTTGCCCATGATATCAGTTCAGTTTCCTAGAAACTTTATTTTTGACTTCTTGCACAAAAATCACGCTGTCGGGGGTATTGCTCGTTTCGATAGACATCCATCTGATCAAGAAGTATTTCTTAAGACATCGATCTGGTTATGCCATAATTGTTCGAATTATAAAATCTTTTTTTGTTTATAGCGTTAATTTAATGGTAAGTGGACAATAACTTTGGTAGTCAACCGTCCACGATTTTAAAGTTTTTTTTTTTTTAATAAAGCACTGAATACCGATGGTTTCAGATCGTCGTCTGAGCGAAAAGCTAAAATATTTGCTATTATTTTAATTCAGACTAATCAGGCTATGGATTATTTTATTTTGCTAAAGCTTTTTTCACCTTAGTCTGAATATTTCCATTTGACCGGCATCACCATTTGGCGACCGCAAACCTGGCCTCAGCTAAATGCTGCGGTGATGACGTTAGATAAGGCGCTGGATTTACGAAATAAGGCTCCGGGTTCGATCTCAATGATAGTTCAGTAATTTTCTCAACTTACTTGAATTTTGATCATCATCCAATCGCGCAATGACAGTTATAGTTGACTATCGTGAGTACCAGATCATCTAATGTCCGTCATAGATTCGAAATAATCGCTATGGACAAGAGGCGAGAAATAGGATAACTAATCATGCCGAGAGGTCTTATCCATCGGCGAAACAATGCCGTGGAACTTATTCCATGGAAGTAAACAACCCAGAAATCCTCAGATCTTAATATATCCTTAAGTGTATATGGCTTCGCTGCTAAGGTTTCCATCTTTGTTTCGTAAAAGTCTGGAGCTCTTACGTATAGTGTATGGCGTATTACATTAAGAAGTATATAGACACATAGGGCGAATTACAGAACAGGTGCTTAAGCCTAGCACCTGTGCCCTCCGCCCAGTGAGACAGCTCTTGCTACGTGATTACATCATCACTTCGCACACCTAAAAAGCTATGTACTAGCTATGTTTCGCGAAGAAATTTTAATGCAATGTATACAAAGGTAGGGCAATTAAATTACAAAATACTTTATTGAGCATATTGAGCATTGAGTAGAGTATACTGAGCGAAACAAAAATCAATCTGATCAACAAGGTGCAGTACTATAGTAAAAAAATCATTAGAATGCCCTACAGTGTTACCCGTAAAAGGAAAGTATTATGTCCAGGCTCTTTCGGAATAGGTCCAATATAGTCAGCACACGGCAGCCTGAAAGCAAAACCATTCCCTTTTGGGTATCACAGCCGTGCTGCCAGACAGAAGCAAATATCTTAACAGATGATGTGTATGTTAAAGTTAAAGCATGGCAGCTAATGTAAGCCGTTTACCGAGCGTATAAGTTCTATTACATCATCTAAATACAGTGCATAGAATACTATGTGCTGAGGCAAGTAAGACGAAGCCTTCCGATTTAGGATATATGTAAAACGATTATGCAAGCACGTAGATTTAATTAAAATATCATTTGCCTTGGTATCGGTACCAGTACTTCCGCAATCGATAGGATTGCCCTTAGTGTGGCAGAAAACAGCTTTCAATGTACAATATTACCTGTAAAAGGTGACATACTATTCGCAACGTGACTACGCTATAAAATGATATCATAAACTTCATATCATAAATTCAAAGATCGTGAAAAAGGCGACCGAATAGGACTCAAGGTCCCATGATTATGAGATCGGCGCTCTGCCCAGCCTAAACACCTATACAAGGAGCAAATCTTGCATATGATCCAGGTGTAGTAATCTGTACGCTATGCTAAAAGTCTACAATCATGCATGACATGCTGCACACGGTTGGGCTTTTCGCCCCTGATAGCATGACCTGACCTGACATGACTAACCTGTATGTGAAGTTTCGCTGAAGTCGAACGCTCTCAGGTACGAGACATTGTCGAACTGGTGTACCTATAAGTCGGTATAGCGACAACAGAATTTGCTCGGCTACCTCCCGCACCTGATAGGCCCGTAGTAAAAAGGGTTGTTAGAGATTTTGCCAGTTACTATAAGCATGCTAAAGAGGATACTCATCATTTGAACATTTTAGTGCATCCGACACCGTCGCATGCGAGACAATTTTGAGAGCAGGCAAAGGTCGATATCGTAGACCTTTTCAAACCCAGTCGACCTTTAGATCGATCGGGTATGAAATGGTCCTTTTCAACATTAATAAGTGTTGTTAATAGTCACAGCTGTTATTCCTGTATTAGTACTATTTTTGTCATTGTTATTATCACTATTAACTAAACGATTTTCGGTATAAATTGTGCTTAGATTTAATACTAATCACAATGCGGATGTCGATCAATACCTGAATTGCAGGATGGGATAGTGCTCGGATTGCAAAGTTCATAACTTGGGTAAATAATGGATCCCTGAAAAATAAACATAGTATGACGCACAACATTGAATATCCCGGTACAGTTTTTCAACTTCTCGTTATCAAGTTTATTCAACATAGCTGTGTCTGTAAAGTTGTACGCGGCTCATAGTCTACTGGTCAGTATATACCAACGTAAATATATACTTGTATATTATAGAACTAATTAATTCGCCCTAAGATGTATCCAAACTATAAAAATATCAGCATTATGCTTTCTGTGCTTAATCGCTATTTACTGTTTAAGCGGGAAAATCAGTGTTACTCACGTGTCGCTCAAGGGCGGCACCCTGGTAATGAGCTGGTCGACAAGCTCTGCCCGACCTTGTGCCAGTCGCGGATTCGTTGTATCCGTAAATGGCTTTAGGATAAGCCCGAGCACGCTCTGCACAGTCTGGAAGGAACACGTAGATCGATCACAAATCAACTTTACGCGACCAGCATAACTACAACACGCTTACTATACGTGACACTCACAAAAAACTTTCTCGTAGACAAAATCTCGACTTGTATCAGATGTACGACGCTGAGATTTTTAGCTTGTTTTGATGGAATTAAATAGAATCAGTCTGCGCTTTTCGAACAGCAGAGCACTCAGGACGGGGAGAGTCTTTTGGATTCTGTTACGACGACAGAACAGCGACTATGATCATTGGACTTATAAGGCTAGGGTATTACGTTAATAAAAAGCATTTTGCACAGAGTTACATCACGTCGCCTCGGATCATGTTTCAGACCTTTGTTATTTTGAATGATTTAATTCTATAATTATTCATGAAAAAAATAGAAAACCTTAATATTTTTTAGTTTTTTTTTTTTAGTTTTATTGTAGGTAAGCTCTATGAAAAGTATACTTTTTCTTAATCTTATTGATCTTTATTCCCAACGCCCACAGACTGAACAAGAAGAAAATCAAAGCTCTCGGGTCCAATGAAGTGCCCATAGCTAGGTTCGTTACGACAGGGGCGTACAGCCACTTGTAACAAAGCTGACTGCATGTCCAAGTCAAAATGCGTATTTCTACGAATAAGCCGGATTTATAAATCAGGCATTGTTTAAGAAGACTGGGTAAACTCTGCTACCAACTGAATAAGAAATTCTAAAGCCAACTTTTACTACTTCTACCTTATGGTCTTCGTAGTCGACCATTTCAAGCAGGAACTCCTGCGCGACGGACTTGAGTCTTGGCGCAGCGGCATCGCCTAATCGGAATAGAATTCGGGGCACCAACTGTAAATGGATATACAGAAGTATGCACGTACATATCAGCTAATTCGTGCGGTCTTTGTACCTTATCTAAGATAATAGTTACTACCATTTTATCGGTGTATGACGTAAGGCTCAGTCCCTGCAATTTATCGGTCATAGTATATTTCGCTTTGCGTGAAAAACAATTTAGTTTCATTGTTAACTGAACGATTGCGAAACCGTTATTGAGCCGTTATATACGTGAGCTAGCTCTACGTATCCGCAACAGAAAGTGCTATATATACAAGTGACGCGGGGAAGGGGCTGCTATAGCACTTCAATATAGTTGAGGTGGACAATTGGCTTTATTCAGTTCTTGAGACTGCAGTAGACCAGAGCATTAGACCATCGTATGTGACATTTGTCGTGTAGACGTTAGAACTCGTTATTCTTTAACTGATTGTATCGTCAGCGCGGGATTCCCGTTACACTAAACCACCTTCCGTTGTTGTCGTCGTCGTTGTGGTGTTTGCGTTTTGTAAAAGGACGAAGCTTACTTTTTTTTTTACCCTGTTCCCAATATCTGCCTGCAACGCACTTCTTTCGTCGTACGTGTAGACATTGCTCAAGAAACGAAGTTTACGAAGCACGCAAGTTTACGACGTTTTACAGCACCTACATACGTATGGAAGCGTGTAAGTCGGGTATCGTTCCACATGTAAAGCGTATCTATAAATTTCTGCTTTCCGGAGCGTTCCGTTTAGCCTACCTATCGGCTAGCGAGAAGTGAGCCGGACGGCATTTGATAGAACACGGCAGACGACCTGTCGCTGGTGATTACTCGCTATTTAGTAACGTATTATTGGTGTAGTAGCACTATTGATGTCTGATCATTGTTTATAGTTGTTTTCTGCGATGCATCGATACAATGTTTGTTGTACCTACCTTGTTGATGGCAAGTGTGGTGTCGACTCGGGCCGTCCGTTGAATGATTGTAAATCGTGTGAACAACGCTTGCATGACATTGAGCGCTTGAATAAACACCTGTGGTAAGCCAGTATGGTAACAAAGTTGCCACCCATGGTCACAAATCACAGTTGGATTAGTCGTTGTACACCGATATAGAATCCATGAAAATAATGTTGGATGAGATGATGCGAAATTAAGCGAGCGACTCCCTTTCTACACCCAGCACAAGTATATACCTTATTTTATGGATACATATGAACAGTGCACCTTGTGGGTTGGCACCTGCGACTTATCGTCTGTCGCTAATATAGTCGCCGTAAAAGTGGGCTCCCTTTAGGTCGCAAATAGTAATTGGTGCAAGTACAAGACATATCACAGATCAGATTGGAATCACAGACACGATATGGGCCAGAACTTTGTTCAACAATGGCAAGGGTTTTATTTAACATTAGGTTCGGCCAGGGCTTAGAGCTGCCGTAATGTCAAACTTATATATGTCATCACCTATCGGGAGAATCCAAAGTCATATGATTACATAACATTGCCGTGACACTATGCTCTACCATGCCGCACGTAAAGCTGTTGACAACTAATTGGTTTCTAATGGTAACCAGAATAGTAGAAATACTTTAAATTATAGTTACTTCTATATTGAGGTTCTAGATCTTCTACAATTAGTTCAAATTGCGACGATTCATCGATGTGTAGGTATTACCAGACATTAGTAGCCAGTACTTAAATGGAGCTGTTTCATTACTCTACATTTCGAGGCCGTATAGCTTTGTATTCATATATAAAGCTTATTCATATAAGTTAAAATTATACAATTTCGCATTGTATATCCGTACGTTGTCACTTGATGCGTCCGGCGAAGATTTAAGAATGTAGACAAAAAAAAATAAAAGATCATTGCATTGAGATGCAAATTATCGGGAAAACATGTATAACGTTTTTAAGGGAAAATACTTACGGAGAGGACTTTGTCTCGGAAACCACGTTGAAGAAGGAACACACTAGCACGGAGAACTTCCTCAGGTGAATGTCGGCTTCGGCGTGCATTGTACCTTTGGGTAAACGATATGAAACAGAATGAATCTGAAAATAAGTATAGAGACAGCAGGAACAAGACCGCAATGCGGGTCTGTTCAGCTGACACTCAGCTTTGCACTGAAAATTTGCTTGCATAAAATAAATATTTCAGCAAATTTTGAAGATATCAATACGAAACATGGACTAGCTTGGTGGTCCAATAACTTTATAGGAAAGCATGACTTTATTTTATAAAAAAAAGTGCCTATACACCTCGTAGAAATATCGGAAATAAGTATTATGTCCACTCGTCGACCTCGATATCTTCAAAAGAGAATTCTTCATTATCATTTACTTCAGACATTTTCAGCGCATAAAATCGTTCATCTCAGTTTAGATGGGTATATTGGAGATAACAGTTGTGCATGATTACGTTACTGACGTCTGCGGAACATACAAAATAAGCAAGAACAGACTCTCATATTCGCCCTAGTGAGCATTCAATAAACTTGAATAGAATTTGGTGTCTATCAAATTTTATGACGATTAACGTGATTCATGACTCAGCAAGAAGAAAGGCATTTTGGAGTAACTTCACCTTTTCTCCAGGCTATAAAGCAAGTGTTTGTATAAAACGATATGTGATCCTTGGCGCACGTGTGAGTAAGGATTTACCGTACGTGTATTAGAACTGAGTAACAAGGCCTGAACAGTATGTTATGACTCCCGTTAGTTACCTCTTCCGTGCCATTAACTTCTTTATGTAAATAGCTCTTTACGAGTACTGCACTTACGCGAGGATCTTTCGTCCCTCCTTACCACCGCGACCTTTTGCAGCTTAAGTCGTCCGACTTCCTTTTTATATGTTTAATGGCAATCTACGGGCCACTATAAAGACGGGCTGCAGCTTTGCCCAAATGTTTCACTTGGTATTTAGGCGGTTTTACGGAACCCTTTTCCTTATTTCTATATTAGCATTATACGGTCACAAAGAGGAAGATTTATATGTATATATACATACATATATATGTGTGTGTGTGTGAGACTAGAGCAGGAGGCGCAAGATCTTGGAGCACATCCACATTTTTGTCGTTTCTTCTACGACCTCTACGGAAATAAATGGAAAAAAACGGGAACCGTTCACTGAGGACATGGAAAAGCCGATTTGGCGAACCTTCCCTCAGAGGTGATAATGAGCAAAGGAGAAATAATGTCTCGCTATAACTATCATTTCGCAACGGGTCGTGTGTCATGCTCATGTCACAATCAGCGACCTCTTTTTTGACGGGCTGACAATAAAACGATGCTGAAAATAAGGTGGTTGGGAAACTGCTGAAATACCAGTTTATGTGAGATAATAAGTGGTCTATATAGGTCATATAGGCATAGGACTATTCGCCTCGTAGAGCATTTACAGTTGTTGTTCCGTCATTAGGTACTTAGGCATTAGTAGGCATAGCAAGCATCCATACACCTGTTTCCACGTATAGATTTATAAACATACAAAGGTCTTATTTCCTTCGATGCATAAATATGGGGACTTTCGCTTGACACGTAATAACTAGCGGTAATCCCTGCAAGTCTATGAACAGTTGACGTAGCTGAACAGGGTATCGAGGATCAGTCGATTTCTTAATATAAGCTATATATAAAATGGAAGGGCAGCGTTGGCACTGCGCGACTACATCCCAAAAATGTTTTCAGCGTTAAGTTTCCTAAAGCTTGGTTCCAGAGGGGTCACACCCTACAACGACTACCTGAAACTATCGTACAATTAAAGAGTGATTCCCTAACGTACTGTTGCCTAGAATAGGTTAGGCAATCCTTGCCAGCACAGTAAACAAGGCGCCTGTTTTTCCTAAACCTACGTTCTACTTCTTCACTACTTTTGTCTGCTCTGTTTTTTTTTATTCTCATCTATTTTTTCTCCTCCCTCGTGTCCTCTTACTCTCTTAAAGGAGGTGAATAGATTGACTGGCACATCTATATTTCTTCACGATGGAGGACACCAGTGATGATGAGCCGAACTGCTCACTACCAGAGCTAATTATAGTGCACTTCCTCTCCACAGTACGGGCAGCAGTAGCAATGTGAGGGCTTGCGTCACGTTATTTGCTGTCGGCTTGAACTCAGCAGAGTTGAGGTAAGCTTACCGAAGTAATAAATGAAACATATGTATTTTATATGTGGTACCTATGCTGTCAAGCCTTGTTGTGTTCCTTCTGTTTGCTAGTCGTAGAGGTGAAGGTAGTGAGGATACACGAACAAAATGAAGTGTAGATAACACATATGGAGGAAAAACTGGCGACTACAGGCGCACGTTTAAACTTGGTTTGAGCTCCTGATTGATTTTTGTCTATAAAAGTTACCGCCGCCACAACGCTTGGTCTGATGAAACTTACATATCTAATACAGCTACTTGCAACCCCACACACACACGCAGAGAGAGACTATAGACTCGAGCGGACCAAGAGCCAGCCAATCTGTTAGTGTACGGCTGGCAATATTCAATATTGCCCTAGTACCGTAAAGCCCAGCGGCTCATTTTCTTAGCCTGTAGCTATACGTGTATACATGCATATTTTAGTAGTAAGAGCACAAGCGGTGCTATCCAGGAACTAGCGACGGCTACCCGCTAGTTATTGTCATCGGTACATCGTTGGCTACTTCGCCTGCTATGCTGCTTTATGGCCATGCATGTCACGTCCCCCTGGGGCTCCAGCCCCAACGAACTGTATGGCTGCTACCTGGGTGGCTATTTCATGCAAGAAGATACTTTACTGCAGCACTCTTACGAGCAATCGCGTTCAGAGGGAGAGACCTTCGGGAAACAGCCCGCCCGATATGAACATGGATGGATATGTATGTCGGTATATGTTACATATGGCTGTGCGAGTGGTATATACCATCGGCTCGTTACTCTATAGCTAACTAAACTTTAATGCACGTATTCATGGTAATGCGTAGAACAACGATTTAGATAAATTGTTCTTTCTAAGCGAAGTACGCGAGGCTTCAATGTGCGAGCATCGGTACAGCTCTTGCTGTTGATGTTATCCGTAATCCCTTGCAAATACCGTTGGTGAAGAATGGGTGGATCGTTCTATTTCCGAATGTACTGCTTTATTATTTTCATTACATTGTATTATTTGTTTTCGTGTCAATACGAAGTGTGATTACCTGTCGACCACGCGTAACATCTCCTTGAACGCGTCTTCACGTTGAATGAAATTACGCGAGTAGAGTTTCTGTACCATGCGTAATCCGAATACCTCTATAGGCAGAGAGGCTTCCTGACGATCCTTGAGAGACATTCCACCGAGGACGAGATCTTTGTCGAATTCCTCGACGTCATCCGCGGTCGCTCTTGATGAAGACAATAGTCGGGACTCCAGAGCGAACTGAGATAGTCCGGTCGATGGCGTCGGCTTAGGCAGCCGTGACTGATACACAACCTTCGAGGACGGCGCAAATGGCAATAACGTGCAAGAAATTACACACACGTGGAGAGAATGAACAAATTTTTATTTGTTTTAATCGATGTATGATATTGTAAATGTTGTTTTTTTACTATCGATCGCTAGACTGTTGAGTTTTATTGTGTTCGAAGAACGCGTATGAAGAAGCGGGAAATATTAATACACTAGATTGTCTTCATATTTCATGGGTATTTATTGTAAAACAAAGTGGACATGTTTAATTTATAGATTCTGCCCTGTTGCAAAGTGTCTTCATTAAATTTGCCTGGTTGACTTCCGTGAATTGAACTGGGACAATATGGTTATTTCGGCCCGTTATAGCCAACGGTCGATTCTCTTTATGACCGTGCCTTTCAGTATAGTATCTTTTTGCTCTCATCGTTGTAAGCGATACATGAAGCTAGATGAAGACAATAAATGAGCTTATACCTATGAGGCCATTTATGTTTAGCCATGCACTTATTTCGATGGCCATGTCTGATCTAGGGGCGCTCATTACTCTGATTTGCCTTTTAAACATCTATAATAGACACAACAATTAACTCTATCAATAAATTTGCAAGATCGCCCGTGGTACCGCTTACTTCTACCTGCGTAATCGACGTTTCCTTAAAAATAGTGAAACAACGTAATGTCGCACGAAGATTCTACGTTATGCTAAAACGCTTGACTAACTAATCTTCATTTATATTTCTTATAATTCTCGCCAGGCCTTTGTTTTCGCAACGCGCTAGCGTAAGCGTTCCTATTTGACTGAGTATATTGTATGGATTTATAACGTTGTACCTGGCTAGAGGGCTTAACGTTGCACACGCATTGTTGTGCTTGCTTCTAAGGAAGGTCAAGCAACAATGAGATAGACGTAACAATAATAGATCACTGTGACATTTGTGTGTCATTTTTAAAATTATCTGTTGTTATCAAGCTCAACACACGTAAATGATAAAGGCTGGTTTCCCCCTGCTTTTTTTTACGACCGTAGAAAACCGGTATTATGACTGTTACCATATTTGTCGACTCAGAAACATCTTTAAGCTCATTAGAACATTTTGAAACGACCCAGATCATGTATAGTAAATAATTCGAAAGCAGCTTACAGAACAGGATCTAGCGAAGAAACCTACACTTTATCTTTATCACGACAATATAATCTTACACTAGACGTTTTCAAGTACCGCTTTGGAAATTATGTTGGAAAATATAACAATAATTCTGCTAATTCTATTGAGAATGTCAGTCATCAATTAATCAATCAAATCCGAGTTTTAAGGCTGTACTCGTAACAACGTGGTAGAATTATCGAGGTAAACTATCCTGCTTGACTATAATATAATTAGAGAAAATATCTGTATAAACAGGACGCGTTTATTCCAGGGATAGATATCGACTGTATCGGGGAAAAACTAGATTGCCTGGTCTGCACGCATATGCCTTTGAGTACAAAGTAATTGAGTCTGTAACCGCCGTCACTCGTTTCATCTTTACAGCATAGCATGAGTCCGCAGCGTATCTGCAGGGCTAAATGACGCGATCGTATTCCTTGCCCCCCCAGGTGGCAACTTCGAGGCAAGAGCATCCATCTATTGCGCTGTGTTAGGCTCATCAAGGCTGGGCAAATGGGTGTCGCGTGTGGGCTCAATAATAAAGTATGCGATGAGTTTGCAGTACGGTCATGGTACGGCAGGTGTCATGACCGTAAAGCCAGAGTCCGTCGCCGTCACATTGCGAACAACGTTTCAGCATTAGTCACTGGGCTTCCGACTTACCTTCCGGTCCTGTGGTTTTGACATATTCATGTCTTTGCTGCCGTTGATATTCTAAGAAGGATGTCGCACAACAGACAAAAGCAAACAGCAACAGACAAAAACAATCGCACCGAAAAAGAATGTTTATTATATATGGCTATATAGCTACTATTATATGGTGAAGACATGTGTAGAAAATGATGAGAAACACGAACTGCTAACCGAGAACCTTATGAAAAAGAACTATTAGCAGAATTCACAAGATACAGACGTCTGTAACTTGAACAAGCACAGCGAGATGACAAGCAGCACTCGTCAACGTTTAATCTAGATATTTGCAGGTTAATCGCGAAATTGAAAAAAAAACCTCAGTAGACTATTTTTTGTGGATCGGCATTTCTGGCCCGTTTCTATATTCTGTTATCTAGCTTTGACTTGATCAATGCAGTATTGCATTAATGATGAGTATCGCATTATGACCATAGATATGAGCGCGTCTGAGAACCGGAAGCGTTCATTACAACCAACACGACCGATGACACGAATTGTATGCGTTAAATAATTATTCAATGAAATTTCGTTACATTGAGAACATTTATCGGCGGGAAAAACTTCTAGCGAGCTTTTTTCCCTGTTTCCTTTGCTTTGAAGGCCGTGTAGCACAATGCCTTCAAGCGGATTTAGGATGTTAGTAAAAATCATCCCCGTCTTTTTGTCCTCTCAGTTTGGACCAGCCATGCACGCAACAGCTGATCACTTTGTAACTGACAAAGCTTGCTTGCTCCAAAACGCACTAGACGCACCGTAATATACGACTACTAATGGAAGGAAGATAGTAGGCATGTTTGCCATAGCCGATGACCCCCGGTATTTTCAGCGAAGGTGAATTTTGGGTTATTTGTTTAAGCAAACTATTTTCGAAAGTTGTTGTTTTCCATTGATATTCGTAAGTACTTCAATGTTCCAGCCGAGGAAATTCAATTTCGTATGATCGCGTTGTTTGATATTGCGAAAAGTGCCTAAGAGAAAAATGTCTGAATTGATTAAAGTCTCTTTGTTCATAGCTGTTTGTTTCATTGTACATTAGTTTCTAAACTCTCAAAAGATAACGTACCTTACTATAGTGGGTTGTTGTGGTCATGTTAATTTGTTGTTGACCGCCTGCGGTGACGGTGGAGACACCTTTCTCTGGCGAAGGCACCGGTCCAGGAACGACGGAATCCCGTTCCGGATTGTACTGTAATGGTAACGAATAGTATGTCATCGAAGAAAATGACATTGAAACTCTGTGCCGTCCCCTTCCCTATGCTCTATAAACCGATACCCGGCGATGCTATTAGGCGCTATGAGACGTCAAAGCGAGGTCAATTTGTCGCTGCGTTGAGCATATGAGTTACAATAATAGAGTACAAAAATAATTCTGATCTGTAAACGCTTCCTCGCAGAGCAATTTCCTTTTGAACTCACAGAGATTGTATCCGAAGATAGCTACGTGCGTTTCCAATTTTCGCTTCGTACCGCTTGTTATTGGACGCCAACTAATTTATATAAACCTCGCGAATATGAGGAGTTCTGTGTCTTTTGCGGTGGTCCTTAAATTACGAGAAAAATATCAGGACATAGGACCGGTTGTGCTTTGCGTAGTGAATGTGTTCGTATATATTTGATAGGTTTTCTATATTCGGGTATATTTAAAGTGTCGGCTTTTAGTATTGGCTCTTCTAAGTGCACATTCATCCTGTATCGGCCGAAGCATGCCACAGGGGCTTTACACGTAGACTGGAAATGTGTCAGCTTCATACGCAACAGGTAAAGATCCACAAATAACGACTTGTTTTTTTCTTCTTGTGTGCATTTCCACACCACGCGCAATTTAACTTTTTTTTTTTACGCAGTACGAATTTCATAACTATGCATGCATTTTAGTACAAAGGCATTTTTTCATTTTCCAATTTCAAACTTTACATGGAGGTTTATTCTAATTGTGGCAAAGCTTTAGCCAAGTGCTTAGTCTTTGCCTTTTACCATTGTCGTCGCTTTCGAAACATTCAATACAGATATAGCGCAAAGAGTTAATACTTGTTTCGAGAAAGCCTTTTTTTTTTAGGTCCGATTGATTTTGTGTTACTGTAACACTACGAAGGGTACCATTTTTAGCATTAGGAAAACAAGTACCAATGATAAAAATAATACTGTCTGACGAATGGCTTAATAGCAGGTAGTAGTATGTGATTTTCTGTGGAGTGAAGCAGACTAATCACGATACAGTAGCGATCGGGATAGATTTAGCCTCCAGAATTTGAGATAATCTGCAATTGTGTTGCAGACCCAGACCTGACCCTGTTCGGGTTTGAATCGGCATTACCAGCTAAGTCTTGCCATGCGCCCTCTTTTTAAAGACGCCCGCTTCCTATCCTGTAGTTTTTTTGCCGTCAGCTTTAAGAAGAGGCGCTACGTCAAAACATGCGCTGGGTCCTTAAAGCATCATTTCTCTGTATCACACGATAATAGCACCTGGTTAGCAGTAGACGCTGACTAGCATTCAGTGTCTTTCAAGAACCATCTTTGTTCGTTTCGTATGCTTATCCTAACTAAAGAGAAAGTCCTAGCTAAGAATAATCGGTTTTGTAAACAAGCGTCGCGTCGCGTGCCGAGCACTCCTTATCGTGTTTTATGTGTGCCACTGCTCGCCAACATACTGTGTACTTGACGAATATTGCAGCTTCTGTCACCATCGCCGCTATCAGCGCTGTACGAATCCTTCAATCTTCCTTCGGGCAGTACCTCTGGAACGGCAAAAAACATTTGCATCCATGCCCCCACTGGTCACCCTTGGCCGTCGCGACCGCCTTTTATTAGCTCCCTCGGGCCCATGGCGGATATATGTGAATAGCCAGAACATACACATGTTTATAAACACAAATGAAGTATTTACAGATAATCCGACCAGCAGCAAGCTACACAGTACACTCCTGAAATTATCGCACAGTTGCAGGGCCGCTTTGTAGAGATTATGTTAAGCACAAACCTGCAAGAAAGCAACGCAGGCGTATAGACCGAGGTGGGGGGTGGGCTAATCAACGCATCTTGTTCGGGATAGGTTTCACTAATGCAGGATTCATTGAGGGGCGCTGTTCCTTCGCCTCTACCTTCCATTAGACAAAACCGCTATTAAAAAAGTTTGCATATACGTGGTGAGGGACGCGTAAAAGTGGGGATTGCTTATAGTTTTTCCCAGCCACAAAGCTCACCAGGTACCCTTGACGTCCAACCGCTATTTCCGCTAACTTCTGCATAGTAATACCGGCTTAAATCAGGCTTTGGGTCGTAAAGGAAGATAACGAACGCAAACGAGTGGCTTGATTAAACATTTCGCAAGGTCCACTTATCCGCAATGGCTGAACTTTTTTCTGCAGTTTTCAGCTCCATTTCGTGTCCTCTTTTCGTACCGAAAAGGTGACGCTATCTTTTGGACGTCTAAACAAATGAATAATAATGTTAATAAGATAGCAACCTAATCCAATGACCACGAAGCAAAAAAAAAGCGAGCTCGCCATAATGAATCTACTTCTTGCCCAAAGAGATGTTCTGAGGTTCATGACTAAGACTATTTCGATTTACTACGTGGCCTACTCGCATTCAAGGGGTTCACTCCAATCTCTCGTTTTGTTTTTTTCCTTTTAGGTACTTACTTCGTACGCAGTGGAAGTAGCAGATAGGTAAAACGTAAAGTACTCTCTTACTGTAGAGATTAGAAAGTTTAAGTTAGCTGTATAGATTTAGCTCATCATTCTCACGACGCCCTTAATCTAAATTATCTAGTGTAGCAACAGGATAATCCTCGTACTATTGTCTGGACGCAATCATTGCTGGTCAATCCTACATATGTGCCAGCCGGCTTATCAGTTGGCAATCCTCCTTAAATAACAGTAGAAGGAGCAGACGTACTTTTTTTTTTACAGGTATTTTATTGCATGCTTTACTGCAATCTTCCAAGGGAAACAACTTAGAGAATTTTATTAATGACGAGCTGAAACACCGCATAACTTAAAAACGACAAAAAGTGAATTAGAGCAAATTTGATTTTCTCGAAAGTTATTTAATATCAAGAGAGAATGTTACATTCGAAATACGATCCAGTTCTATTAGCTATAAATGATCTAAATCAGAAACGTACAGAGTCTTCACTTTTCTTCAATTTTGATGTCAAAAAGCTGTCAATTTTATAAAAATTCGTTGTCCTGCTGCAGCTTTCGTTCCTTACGAACGATCAGCCTTTTGGTCAATAGTGTTTTGGTTCACAGAAGATGTGTTTACTTGTTTCAGATTTTGTATCTGTAAAAAATCGTATTGATAAAATACGACCTTTTCAAAGTATATCGTATTCAGAATTTTAATGAACGCAAAGACAGGAGGACTCAAAACATGTACTAGCCTTTACTTTTGTTTCCTTTATTTTTCTATTCACTACTCACCCCCTCCATTTCCATAAGTTCTGGGAGACGCAGATGTTCATATGCATTCATGCGATACGTCTGCATATCGTCCTTGATGCGTCGCGCTCGATCAAAATCTTCAGTTTCCACCGCGGTCTGCTTGTCGATCATCATTTTAGCTAACCTCTCGCCTACCTGTAATCCATTTGCGAATATCGATTAGGCTAGATGTTGTACTAACATATGGGTATGAACTTACCACTACTTTCAGCAGCTTCGAAGTGAAGTTGTATAACAACGTTATGTTAATAGGAAGTGGTCGATACTTAGGGTCTAGTGAGTGGCTAAATCTCTCAATGATAGTTCCGCACTGCGAGAAACGTAATAAGGAAAAGTAGGCTGATTTGAAATGTTAAACGATGCAATAAAGCACAAGCGAGTTGCAGTTCCTTTTCGACTCATACCTTTTGTAATTCACCGATAGCATGCTTGAGTTTCTTGGCGAAGATAAAGCGTTCCTCTGTAATCATAAAACGATCAACGTCAGGAAGTATATCATTAGACAGGGGGTTACCCACAGGCTAAGAGCTTGGATACTTTTAGCCTTGATTGGTTCAATATGGCGACTAATAATGCGTATATATTCCTCAGACGTTCATTTACACTATACGTTTTAAGGATCACTTTTATTACGTGAATACTTATATGCGGGAGAACAAATAACAGTCTAAAATGTTCCTTAAATATAGCCGGCCAACACTTTCAGCTAATGACTTCGGCTAATGCTTTCGGCGACAGCTTCTCACTGAACTAGACTTTTCTACCCCTTTCACAACCGTATTTTCCTGGCTCCCTCCCGTTCCCGGTACAGTCTTTCACTCTCATACGAGAAACTTCATATCTGTGAATCCTGCCTGATTTTTTTTTTATTTCTCTTCCTATTTCACTATCCTCAGCAAATCTTTTCTGTCAGTAGAATTACGTCCGCAGGGCCTGCCTCTTTCATGCGTTGAGTATTTTTGTTGGATTCCCTGTTCCCCGTAGCGAATTGAGAGTAATTGGCTTACTGAGACGCCACTATTGTACGGGTTTCTATGTGCTTTCCCTACATGTTCCGCTGCCCAGCCTCATTGGCGCCACTGAACCACCGAGTCTGGCGAACGGGTTGAAAAGAAATCTGTGGAAAAAGAAAAGAGCAAGCACTGACAAATTACGCCACTTTACGCTCCAACAGGTATCCGTTCAGGTTGAGCAGACGGCGTCGCCGACTCGAAATAGGTTGGGCTAATATTGCAGAGTGATCAGACGACGAATGCGGACTTGCTTGCATATCATAGTATACGTAAGGGCCTGCATTGCGTGTTTAGATCGACATGGCTTGAAATGGTGAAGGAATAGGTATAAACTCGGCCCTTTTCTGACGATTCCTTCGGCATACGACTCTATAAGGTCGTCTGTTGTTGCTCTTGATGAATCATATTCAAATGCAGTCTGTTTTGCATTTGCTACACGACGAATGCCTCCATGACCAATGGATGAAAAGGAAGGCGCAAAAAACAACCGACCGTCGTTGCCTGCAGGACCGATTCAGTAGCAAACAACAACGCCACATCGAAAAGTTCGCTCGAACGTGAGCGAAGACGCAAGTAAACGGGGATCAATACGCATATATTGCAAAGGTTCCTTGCTGTTACTTCTAGCTCTAAGTGCGAAGCTCATATCGCTTCCTCCTCTATATTCAGCCAGCTGAGGAGAACATTATCGCTGCTGGTTGAGTAAACAGTAACAGGTTACCAGTATTCCTGAAGATTGCAACTACATAGTGATGAAACCTCCACCATACAAAGCTACTACATGATGATGCACAGTCGAGTACGAAGAACATTATAAAAAACATTTGGCTTGCTAGAGTAGAGTCATCTGGAAGCCAGCTCGAGCTATTCACTCATATTAATAATTGCTAGGTCATATTGTGGTTACTAGGACAAATACGAAAGTGAACTTTTATAGGAGGATACTAGTGACAGCCATACATTTGGCGTTCCGTAACGTCTATGAAGTTGTCGATGTATACAACGTACCGTTGATCGCGTCCCGCTTTTTGTGCTCAAGTTTCCTCAGAATCTGAGCGACCTCTCCGTCGACGTACATATCAAAGGCCAAGTCGTCCATCGGTGAGATTTCCTCGTTTCTATATGAGCCGTAGAAAATAACAAAGGTCTATTAGTAGTGTAAGGTTTGTTAGTATTGCTGCCTTAACAACGGCGGCTTATAAAGTGCACCCCCTGAGCTAATGATATAGCTAGATGTATAATGAACCGAAAGTGAGCTTACAGTTATTCTCTGTTTAGTCTTTCGTTAAAAAAAGATAGATTTATTCTCAAAGTACTTTTTCTTATTGGGAACCTGTTCTTTTCTCGACTACAAATCCACGTTATCGTCAAAGGTAAGCTTCTTTGGTGCCTTCAGTCCATTGCCATATCTAACTATAATAACTTTAATTGGTATTTCTCGTAAAAAATATTTTCGCACTACATCTTAGTAGATAAGGTACCGTTGACGCGTACCTTTTAATAATGCTTTGCCAGTTTGCCTGTAATATAAAGAAAAAATGTAATGTATGTTAAACCTATGTTTCACTGGTTAAACAGACCTATAAAAAAGCATAATTAATATTAGTTGGGGCTAAGCTTTACATGAGGGACTTGGCGGGATTAGCCCCCTTTAGGTTTACAAGAAAAGCCTGTTATGAATTTGGTGGCCGATTTGTCGGCTCCTAATTTTGAAATACTCTAATCAATAAGGGCTGAGCAATTCACGTACGATTATGCTTCTTTGAACTACGACTGTCTAATTTTCGTATAGATAAATAATTTGATATTGATTAACAATACAGTTTAAAGTGGCCTAATTGCGAAAACTTAACTTCTACTGTTTGCCATTATGTTTGAAAAATTAAGTAGGCGGCACCCTTATAAGATGGGCTAATTTATATTCTTAAAACTAATGACACGTTTAGTGGATTCTATCGCTCATTGTTACTGCTCAATGACCTAATTTGAGACGTTACGAAATCGTATGACGAAGAACTTTAGTAATGCAGTGTGTATCTTCATCATTAATAGCATGGAGCCAACCACAATTAAATATGATGGTTTTTTTTTTATTTGGTAGAAAAAGCCTCATGTTGAGATTTGAAGCCGCAACCTCTGGCTTCTTTGGCCAGAGACCTATCCGTTCAAAAAATTAGACTAGGTTTATACTTAGCTAAAAGTAGATGCGGCATTGAAGTTTCGCATAAGCCTCTAGAACACGTAAATATAAAACGTGTGTTCACCCTGCTATGTGTGCTGCCAACGATGTAATTCCACACATTAAGTACACACATTTTACTCGTATTATGATTAATATATCGTTACTTTTGAAAATTGCACATACGCTATCACAAAACGCGGCGTCTTCAGGAGCGCTCTAAGCTTACACTTCTGTCAGCGTTCTCGTTTCTGCGCTAGAGGCCAGACGTTAAACTTAACGGCAGCTCTAGACGTAAACTTTAAGCATTTGAGTTTCCGCTCTGCAATACTGGAGCAACTAAGTTTGTTAATGCCAAAAAGCGCCTTCGCTCATACGCTTAGACAACATTCTTCAAGAAAAAAAAACATTAAACCGAAAAAAGAAACCTAATCCAACGATGAAACCTTCTACCACGTGTATGATCGTTACCTATTTCGCGCATTGGTGCTCGACGAATTATCAAATTTTCGCCTTGCTTCAATTACAAAATGAATATTATTTTGTATATTTCTACTTTTTTTTTTTACGAAGATGAGACATTAACGTTTTCACTTTGTATTAACAACATGTGCCTTATTTTTCCAGCACCATACGATCAATTCGTATATAAAACGGAGATTCTTTCACCAGTTTATTTCTGGAAATGTTTCTACTTTCCGGCACATTCCTAGTTCATGTACTAATTGCAAAAATTTCTTGAGAATCATTTCAACCGTCGTCAATGGAATCCCAAGCAGTTTAGGTGACCAGTAAGTTAGGTCCATACGTTGAATTATATAGCTAGAAGTTAAACTTTTGAAGAGACAGTTTTGGCTTGGCGACAGAGCTAGCCATTTTCGCGCTAAAGCGAACATTGAACTTCAGAATAATACAGGTAAATTTAGCTTGGTTTCACGCCACTGCTCGTCTATCTAAAAATTTGTATCAAATTCGGAAGATACCCGAACACACATAACGAAAGAAACAATTCACAAGCTCCAGAAACAATTGACACTCCAAGGCTACCGTTGTCGCCCTTAAGCATAATCGCAACTTTACCAGTGCAATGGGATATGTAAGTTAAGCATGATATTGAGGCAAGTTGAATTTACGCTAATTAAAATAGAAGTTGGAGAAAAAAGCATCATTATATCGTATTTTGTAAAACTGAAGCACATCAGCGCCAATATATGTATGTACAGGTGGATTATGCCGTGACTTTTTTCTATTTATCCCTTTATAGAGATGCTGTTAAGGTTTTTGAAGTTCACTTCAACATTATCAATCAAGTCACGTTTGTTCGTTGCTTCTCCGATCAACAAGTATTTGGAAATAATCGGACGGCTTTTCACGCTTATCTAACATTCAGAGCAAACAAAGGGCTCTTAGTGTTCCATTTGCTTTCATAAGGGCGCACAATATTTATCTGAACGCCCCTATAGCCCTTGAATTTTAGCTATCACTACTTAGTAAACTGCGTTTTAATACAATGAAAGCAAGGAACGCATTAGCGTAACGGGCACGCCTAATTCGTATGCTTGATGAATCTTGAAGCACGAAAATAAATCGAATAACCTACCATCATCAGTGACCGAATTGATAGGAAGTGTGAGTGCAATATCAATCAATCAATCTCAGTTTTTTTTAAATAAACCTTGGCCATTTTTCTTCAGTCTTCTTCCAGTCTTTATTCTCTCACAAAATCGACAACCCTTCCGGGGGGGTTATTGTCACCGCGGCGTTACTTAATATAAGCATCTCAAAGTCTATGAAGCTTTACCACAAATCGGTGCTTCCCGTAAAAAACGGCCTTGTTAACCGCAGCGAAGGTACGGCGGAATCTCGAATTCCGCCTTCTTTTTTCGATGTAATCTGCTGTTGCCGTTGCTTGCAATGGGCAGTGCCGGAAACACCCCTTCTACAACAGTAAGAAAACATCGAGCGAGTACATTTGCCAGGCTTTCCCTCTGAGTTGATACCAGAAGCGCCTTCGATTACTTTAGCTAGCAAAAGACGTAAGCCATTTGATTTCCAGCCAGCCAGCTTGCAGGGGAAGTATCCCACATCCCCAAATGCAGTCCGGGATAAATGCGTTGCAGGAATAAACGATACAAGGCCTCTTGGTGGGCTAGTACTAAAGCCGTCGACTAGGGCCGTGAACAAACTAAGCACACTGAGATAATTTGCTTTCTGATCAAGTTTGGGCCTGGCGGCTGGAATACGTCAAATGAACACAGGCGAAGCTTACATAATATAAACAAAAGTGATGATGACACGAAATGATTAAATATGCTTTATCGGGCACGTGGTTATGGGAAGTAGACAATGATGACACAATCACGTGACATATCACAGGGGAGTAGAGAGAAGGACCTGGTGGAGGCAAATAATCGCAATTGCCCGTAGTAAACGAACGTTGCCTACGATCGTATTTTGAAGCTAACGTAGTTAGTTTAGGCGAAAAATGAACTGCAATCACGATAGAACGTGGCGATTATGTTGCAGCTTATTGAATAACATGGAGGAGAAAAGCAAGGTAATAGGGTCTTACGCACCACCGAAAATATGATTACTCCGCAAACAAACATGCTTACTATAATAGCTTAATTATTATCTGCGGGGTTGGAACATCCCAATTGTCGATATTCATGCAAATCCAGAAACGAAAGTTCTAAGTAAAGCCTCTTTGTTGTTTCCTGCTTTTTTTTTTACAAACAAAGACCGCAATAATTTGCCTTTTGCAATATGCAGTTATCGTCTGAAGATATATTTGTGTTAAAAAAAAAAAGCTATGGTCTCATCGCTGTTTTAGCATTCTCGCCTAGTGCAATACACACCGCTATTAAGTGTTGCGTTAACGGCTGCATCTCATAACAAAAAGGGTTCGACGTTCTGTTGTTTGAGACCCGCTTACGAGCATCAACCCACCCCAAGGCGATTCAGCTTCATCAGACTTCCACGCACCCATGCCCTACGCCATTCACACGTTCTAAATACCTAGTCTGTTGGAAGTGATAGGCGCGGTACCTCTTCAGTGCCTGGCCAAGCACGAAATGAAACACGCCCATCTTTAGCTCTGCCACTACTGGGGGGTTCCCTGGAATAGGATCGCAGAGCTATGCTTTGAGGTTATAAAGGGTCAAAGGACAATATATCGTCAAGCCAAACCGGCCAAGCGACGGCGCCTCCCTTTTTTTTGCCAAACTAACGTAAAAGAGTGTCATTACAGGGATTCCCTACACCGGGGAAAGCCGGTTGCGTTGCGAGAGAATAGAAGTAGAAAGTTAATGGCAGCCTTATATGGTGGCTTTTTTTTACTACTGAACACTTATTTTTTCCGTTTATCTTTTTCTTTTTCCGTGTTTTGTCCTCTTTTTCGGGCTGCTACCACAATGCGTTGAACTGCTTTAGGCTGTCCGGCCTCCAGATTGCCTTACACTGTTCCCTCACAGGCTGCTAATTTTAAAATGCCTAAGCGGCGTAAGGATTCGATTCTACGATGCTGCTTTCAAAAGCACGCCGATGTGAAGGTTATCAGCTAAGATACCCGAACGTTTCTGGAAACAAGAAAATTTATTGATTGTTATAGGTATCTGTTTAAGCTGTTCCAGATTAAACTTCGATGCCAACAGCAGCTGCAGCGGTATCGTACACTGAAGCTTAATTGCTATTTATTTTCTGCATCCTGTCCACCTTTATCAGAATACACGCTATCTTTGAACGTAAAGATAACAGGATGATATGACCAGATAATCTCGCCTTTCCACTTGCAAATACCGAGCTTCTCATTGTAAAGGCGGGAAGTTGTCCTGCTGATTGTTTCCTGCAGCGTCATGCCGTCGGAGCGAACATGTCGTTCGCTCCGACGGCATGGTTTATGCTGTTTCTTGGTTTGGTTAGCATCATTGATATCATGATTATTTTTCGGAGAATCGCTAACTAGCTCTCTAAGGTAACATGCGATGATCCGCAAGCCTATGGACGAGCACAATTTACTATTGGTGAGTAGTATACTAAAAAAAAATAGGGTCGATCTGTTAATAATAATTATCGTTCTTATCAGCACAATGCTTCTACGCCGTTACTCTCGCCCATTTCAGATAAGCATATGTAGGGGAAATAGGTTTACCGTTAAAACAATACAGGAAGTTCTTACCACTCCGTCATCGACCTCTTCGGCATCGAGAAAACTGTGTTTCAAAAAAAAAAAATTTAAATGTAATTTTGGAGAAATTGAATAAATGTTCTCGTGTGAAGTGGAAATTAGTCTATTAATTACGAGAACTAGTTTAATTTTCAATTAAAACTTAGAATTACTATACAAGTTTATAATTATTATATATAAGAAACTGATGCACAATATGATAGATAAAACCAACTAGATATATATATATATATATTGGGCTGTCAAAAACCACTAACCATTGTTTGTGACTTTGGCTTTTAGGTCACATATCTCACATAATACGAGATACGGGGATCGGCGTTGGTCTCACTTCGAAGCTGGTATTTGTTAGTAGTGGATGTGTTGACAATGTTGGAATATTATAATAAGAGTCGAGATAGAGCGTTTTGAGAACGAGTGGAAAAGCTCGCTCTCTGGTATTTTATCACGCTCAAAAGAACAAATTTTGTCTAGGCCCATAAGATAATGTCATAACGGCTGTCCATGGTCAAGATGCATTATCAAGAATAAAATGAAGCTAATTCTGTCGCATTCTTCACGTAGTGGCTGACCAGTTCGGAAGACAAGTTCATTAAAAATTGAACCAGGCTGACGCGTAAGTCACCATGATGTCGGCAAGGAACCACATCACTTGACGAGAGCTAGTTAGAAAAAAAGCCCACGAATTAACTTAAAAAATTTACTCGATTGGTAATTCAGTCTGCAAAACCCTACAGACACCCAACGAAAGCCGAAACTCTATGTGCAAAAATATGGATAATGTGCAAATAAATCATCTTGGTCCACAATCTGCGACAGGGCTGACACCGTGAAGCTACACTTCCTGTAGTAGACAGGTGATGTACATTATAGGTCGCTCTCGTCTGAGACATCGATGGATTTCAACCTCTACCATCAACAGCTAAGAAGATCATAGCGATCAATACTTTTCCGCAAGCCATACTAATAGCCTTTAACGCAATAAAAACGGAAATCGTTGCGTTTATCCTAATAGTGGGGCAATGTGATACCATCGTTCCATTGTTAAAATGTGTCAATACGTCAATTATACTCACTGACATGATCTATATTAGAAAGCCGAGCTCTCAAGACGCTTAGCAGAAAACCTCTCTGTTGTTTTTCTTTGCTGTGTATACACAAACGCTTTAACATAGTCCGCTAGAAGGTAACATGTCTACAATGGCCAAGTTGGTCGCTAATACACAAACCTCGTATGACTAATCGCATAGTAATCAACACTCAGCTCCCAGACAAGTTGGATAACTTGAAATCATTGTACCAAATCTAGAAAACAATGATTTTTGCATAAAAACTATGCAGTCAACGGTGAAATAGGATGTTGGGCCATTCCTTATCCGGAATCAAAGACATTATAACACCGTTTTCTTTTTAATAATTTGCCACAATTATCCTTTCATCATAATTCTTCGGGCAAATCGTACTAATTGAAATCTCTTTCTGGCACCAAACCCTGTACAATTAGCGTAACATGGGCGTGCCCACACAACGAACTCTTATTACCGCTCGCTGCGTTCGGCGCGAAACTCGCATTACCTAACAGTTGCATTGCTACCAGTCAACGGTATACCGGGTTTCGTCGTAATTCGTGGCATTCGTAAGTAATGCCGTTTATGTTTCCGCTATAGCGTACTGCATTGCGCTATCGCATCTAAGACAGGCTTTATTTTTCTCGTTTGGCACGCCGCCGTCGCACAACCGTAAATCCGTTTTTTGTTCTTCTTTCGTTTAACGTTTCGCGGCAGTTTCTGCGAACGCTTATAGAAGCCGGTGAATTTCTTGTTGCGTTTTCGTCACTCTAAACCCCTTGGTGTCACTCTCTTTCCTTTTGTCATTTCTGTGCTAGCGTTCTGGGTTTCTTTTTGTTGGGCTTGCATATACTTATGCTAGCTATGCGGAATATATCGTCTGGGCTGTAGGGTAAGGCGCGTCTCTCGCTCTGTGTTTCTGAAATTCGTTTTGTTTGTAGCCAGCCTGCGCAAATCCGCTTTTATGAAGGGAAAGCAGGACTTTTCAGCTTCCAAGTGGTGACCGCAGAAGGGCTGCAATATTTGGAAATATGGTGAGCGAAGTTACAAGTTGACTAGGCTAGATGGTAGCAGAGTGGACACTTTGAAGCACGTCTATCAAATATCTCTTTTTGTTGTTTCGTACAATTTCGATATATATATATATATATATATATATATATATATATATATGGACATAATCGTCCATTGCAGATATTGCCTATCGTTACACGTTACGACCTTATAGTGGAACGATTTAATTAAAATCAGTCAAACTTTAAATACGAGGCTTATTCGCGTACGTGAATGCAGTACGTACATATATATGCCTCGGCAAATTATTTTTTTTTACTAGAAAACTAGTCGAGCATAGGAGTTTAAATATTTACGCAAATAAAGTGTTGACTACTTCTAGTTCTAATTACTCATTCTGTCAGCTGAAGTTCGTATACAACTAACAACTGGATGCGAACTGTAGTAGCTAACGCTGTTATCGCTTTTACGTATATCACATATACGCAATATAAGTGGAAAAAAAACTTGCACATTATGCTCGATTGGCCGATCTAACGTGGCTCAAACTTTAGAGAAGGTCGTCCTGGCGAGAGAAGGCCAAAAATTTTAGACAGGCTCAAAAAAACCGTAGTCGTCATCAAATCACTTACTGACTCTCTCCCTTCCTTCATTTTGAGTACCCATCAAGATTTGGCGAGCCAGAAGGTTCAAGGAAACGATAGATAAAAAAATGGGCACAATCTTGGAAAAGAACAATACAAATATGCATGTATGTCACCGTTAGCTGACCTGCGAAATCGGCTGGTTGCTAGGAACACTTGACAGGAAATGCAATCGCAGACGCAGCATATCTTCGAAGTTATGACTGCCCAGGACTAGCGCCTTTGCAGCTGCCTAAGCCGACCAGTCAGGCAGAAGTTAGATATATTGAAAGTTCCGATACTACAGTATAAGCTTGTTATGTCCGTATGTGTATCTATGTATAGACTCAGTGTGCAAGACGACAAGAATGAAGCGAAGCAAAAGAAATTCATTCCTGAGGAGTTTGGTGTAAGTCGCGGGGACGCTCTCATACGTTCGTCCACGCTGTATTTAGTGTGCCAAATAAAGGCTGCCTCGCGGCCTGTAGGAACCCTGCTGCATCGAAGTAATTCTGACGGAGTTTTGCAGAGACATGCAACAGACAAAAAAGATTCTATAAATAATCAGTGATAAATGAGAGGAAAGCAAAATTTTAAGAATGACACAGTGTTACTTGGGGTTTATTTGTTTTTTTTTTTTTTTCATATAGATACGAACGATGAAGATAAGATCAGGTTGGTGGTGCTACGATGAACATAGTACACAATCACTAGATACCATAAAAGACTTTTATGTTTAAGGAGCCACTATGTTACGAGTTTTACGTCCGGTCCAGACAGCTGGCTCTTAGCACGAAATGATGTCTTTCTATGCTCGCGCTTGGAACTAGACCACGTGTCCCTAAAATTAATAGGCAAATATGTTTACCCACTAATCTATCACGGGGACTATTTAAGGGCCCTATATAAAGTACCCCACTAATGTAGTGTACTTTCTACAGCCTGGCTATCAATTTTTGTAAAGAAGCAAAGTCAGTTCACTGCATAAAGAAACAACAAATTTGGCAGCTTGAATGAGATCAAGATAGAAGAATAGTTTCATCTTTCGACGTAATTACCCTACTCCGTTGGAGAAGAGAGCCGTGGAAGTATTTCGAAAAATTCAAACTACGTTTATCAGTTATATAAGATTTATGTTGTACCAGATTGGATGTCGTTTTTCCAAATTGTGCTAAAACGGCTTTCGGAAAATTTGACTTAGCTTCAGCATGTATTGAATTGAAATTAAGCATGAATTGAAATTTCTTCATAGTACCGCTTTTGTAACAAGATGCATATGTATTGATTTTAAATACTTGTTTTTGTTACATTGGAACCTGACAGCCGTTGACGTGTAACGTTAACTGTGACATTATCGATAATAATTGTTATAATAATAGCGACTGCTATAGTAATAGTACAACTTTTATAACAAGAGCAATTCATCTGCATAAATTAACTTATCTCCCTTTTAATTCAATGAAAATAATTTTAACCTGATTTGAAAGTGTATTGAAAGTTATACTACTACTGCATGCCGAACAATCTATTTATATAGGAGAAAATATATCTACTTGAGGATTCGTATAGCTCTGATTGCTTCAGTATAATTTGTAGTATACCCACGGACAGTTATCTTCTATGTTTCGAGTTTTACCTCCGGTAGGCATTCTATCAGACGGCTGGCTGCGTTCCAGCCAAAAGCGAAGTCCTACACAGTTATCCCGTAGTTTTTGAACTTTCCTAATAAGATGGAATATACCTCACTTATACAGTCAATACAGTCTAAATTATATAGCTAGCAGTGAATAATCTATTAACTTCCAGTCGAACAATAGCTTAGGGGAGAGACGGAACGCCTGAGTCGAAAGCTCAAGGATGTATTGACGCACTTGAAATACAGTTGTTGCACAAGGCTATGCTTACCCCTGGATCAGACGTTTTCACGAGTGGATCATCATCTCCAATGATATTCAGCGCAATGATTCCGACCTGAAAAACAAGCAACACATGACATTACGACGGAAAGCCATCGAAGCAATTTTTATACGCGATAAGGCAAATAGGAGTGATTGAACTTTCATTTTCTCACCTGATTGTAGACGTTGTGCTTGTTTACGTGACAGCCGTGCACGAGCAGCTTTACGAATTCTCCTACAGCATCGACAAGAACGGATTTGAGCTCGCGACTCTTGTACTCCGAGTGTATATTATCAGCAAGCGTGATTTCCCTGCAAAACGGAAAACAACGGAACTGTCCGTTAGGGTAGTAATCAATAATGGCTGCAACAACAGTAAAAACGGCGACGGCTACGACGAAGAGATAAATACGTAGTAGCAGGATAGGCGTCACCAAATACAGGCCGTTCGTCTCACTGCTTTAACTTTCCGTGCTCATTAATACCAAGCTAGACTGCTATATAAAATAGAGTCAAAATGCTACTGTAAGCAGCTTACGTTGCCCCATTGTCGTCTAATTATGACAGTAGGGAGCACAAAGGGCTTTCAATGAGCGCGTTGTTCTACAATTGAATCACTGCCATGGCTAGCCTAACTAACCTGGTCCTGTTGGAATCGGATGAGACACACGAAGTTAATAGGCGTGATAAATCGCCTCAGGCCTAGTCACAGTGTAATGCAGGAACGAACAGCATGGTCACCTCAAAGATCCGTAGCACGCTTGTTCAAATCCGTAGCAATCTCACGCCAGATATTTATGATACGGGCCATAAAGTAAAATAAATGGGACCAACAAACCAGTTCAGATGAATGTATGGGTTACCATTAATTGCGTTAAACGATACTTGCCGAATTTCATGCGACTTGCAAATTTGTAAATAGCTTCCCGTATTATTATTTTATTAGGCTCCCATTGTCAAATAGAAGACAATTGTCCGCTTCAAGTGAACGTGGCCTAGCGTTATATAGCCTATTATAGTCTACTCCAGAGACGCTTTTACCAGCTTCCATTGCAATTTGTGTATATTGATGGGCTTTTTCTATTCGGCTGCTCGTTACACAACTCTACGGCGTGTTGCATTTCGATTTGCCAGCCTATTTTAAACGAAGGCAGTAAAATTGAAAACAGCTATGTACGACCACTTTTTTTTGTGCCATTAACCACTGATTCTTAATAATATTCTTTACGTAGTTCCCTTTATAATTTATTTCACCGTCATTCTGAAACATCGACACCTTGAAGTAAACGACAAGGAACACCTTGCAATGCTATGTTGCCGTGCTAAAGGCATTTAGTAATTCAGGGGATTAGTTTGTATCTCTGCCAGTCCAACTTCGCAGCGTGCCCTTCTATACGTCACCACAACCGTAACCTATTCGAAAAGCGTTCTCCTATGGCGATTTGATGTCGCGAATGCTTACCCCCCTATGACTTCCGTCCATAAACAAACCCAGACGCAAAGAGCATAAAATTATACCCATCGACCATCTACCTCCAGGAGGACTTTATGGCGATCCTTCATGTGTTTTTTGAGCTGATTATTGATACTCCTGCTGAGAAGCGATGTGTTTTGATCCTTTTGATAATTGATGAATCGAACTACTGGCGGCACAGATTTCACAAGTGGCTCGCAGAAAGTATTTTTACTATATCGTAATTTTACACGGCAATTTGTAAAGGGGCGAATGCGATTTTAGCAGTCACCTATCCCTACATTAAGTCGTGGCTAAGTATGGTTAATAAAATATATTCTACAGTGAATATATTCATAGTTAAAAATATTATTAAGCATCTCTTTTGTTTACGTATTGATCATTATATTCTCGATCTGTAGTTGCCAGCAGAGTTCATGGGGTCATTTTGCCTACTTTTTCCCTGGCTATTATTTATGATTGGTAGTCGAACTATATTCCAGCTATTCCCGAACCTGATTAGCTTCTGGTCGCTGATATCATCAAGTGTAGTAGCTAGTTACGCGATACGATACACAGACTCCTCTGCCCCTGTGGCGATAAAAACAGCAAACATTCAAAGTGCTAAATCAAGTGGAAGAAGGAGTTTTCATAGGGATAAACGGCACAGAGTAAGGCACACGAGAAAACCGTGACGGCAGCCAAGTATAAATAAGCACGAAATCAATAGGATAAACGTACGAGGGTGTGCGTCCGTTTAAAGTTTTTACATGGTGCGAATCGGACCTCTTCGGATCAAACGACAGGCTATCGCATCCCGATTTCTTAGAATTTGGTTCAAGTCAGGAGCTTCAGCAGCCTCAGCCTATATGGAACACCCACGTGTATAGTCTTGAACCTTGAGTTACTTTAAGTTGTTAGCATCCGGCGAACGTGTAACGAAACTCGTTGTAATATTGCCTTTGCCCTGTCACTTACGTGCTGCTGGCATTCTGTCCTTATGTGAGAGGTCTGCAGTTTTTTCCCTTAGCCATAGCCAGCTCAAACCTAAACCGTACCGGCCACCTCTGGGTGAGAGAAAGACAACCATTGCATGCACAGCTGTACGCGTTTCCATGCACATGTTTTGTATGACGCTTTCATTCTCCTCGGAAATGGAACGTCGAGCAGGAGCTTCGTTGCTAAATGATCGCCGAGCCGAAGGCCAATAATAATACTACCACTGCGGCGTCCAACTGATTTTCCGGATGCTGTGCCGCCCAGTTAAGATTACTACGCAACTTCTGCTTTGCAATTCCACAGTGGGACAAACTGGCTGAGTACTCAGAGGTGCAGGGACGTTGCTTCGACGGCTTATCATCCAGCGGTCTGATATGCGGAGAAACTCGTTTTAGCGGGCACGCCACCACCCCTACGCTTTACGCAAAGTAACGTGCAAACTTATAATTCTCACTTTGTTTGTACGTGTTAATGCGTGTGGGTATGCTCGTACACATGTTTCATCATTATGTTTCTATTCTGTCAGCTTTATATATGTTGTTTTCCCGCACTTGATTTACTTTTTTGCGTTCGATTCACTATATGTGCATGTGCAATTATAAGTGTGTGTACGTATATATTGTCACGTGAGCTGACGTAAACCTTAAACGTATCTTGAGCCAATTTGATTGATGTACTGATCGACTGTTTTCAGTACTGATCGTCCTAACTAGCCTCGAGCAGATGGATGCCAGTTGGGCAAGGCTAGAGGTAAGTGAAAATGTTTTTTTGCAAAAGCCACGCACACAGTTTAGCATGCTTACAAAAGAAGAATTCGATAGAACCTCTGATATTGTACACGGTAGTTATTATTAAAAAAAAAAAAAGACGTGACTGTAATACTAATTTCACTGATATTAACATTGACCGACAACGTTAAAGATATCCGCCAATTACTTTTCAATTAGACAGGTAATTATTGAAGTGAAAAAGCTGAGAACCTAGAACAGTTAAAGGTCTAAGCGAGCTTGGCAAGTTAAGCTGAACCGAGCTGCCTTAAAAGGTGCTAAATAGTCATCTGTAGGCGCTAAATAGGCTTTTGACTCTACCTACAAGCCCCTAGAGCCTTTGCTAAAGGAATCGCATTCTACGAGCAGAGCTAATGGGTTCGAAAGCTTCGGGGCTATCATGTTTACGAATAGAAATCATTTTCGAGATCTTCTTGGCGGGTCCATTTGGCCACTAGATATAATTGCGCGGGTTGGATGACTAAGAAGTCTTCTTATTGAAAACCAACTTCTCACTTCTAGTGGCAACTGGTTTTAGATGCAGAAAACAATTATAATAATAATAAAAAAGATTGGCGTTTTAAATAGGCAACTATAATATATTCTAACAGATTTCATTAGGATCCGGCAAAGGATTATCTTAACGTAATAAAACCGTATGCGAAAAAAGACTGCTTTAGTATAGACACCTCTCAGCAGTTGCGCTCAATAATATTACGAATGGTACCATCCAAGTACGCATTTGGGAAGGACCTGACTGTGTTTTAAACAAATATGTAAGTACATACACACTCAAGTTCTCTGCGGAACGACAATCCAAAGTAGGGACTCGCCGAGACGCATCTCTCGATTTTAAAGCAGAACAAACACGTCTTCTGCATTTAATTACTTGCAGACAGTTTGATCGTAACGAAGCAGAAGGCAGGGTCGCGAAGAATAAACAGAAAGTAAAACAACAATAAACTCAAAATCAACGTTTCCATTAACGCGTTGTGTAATCGGCCATGTTTATGACCTCGGAATATTTGTCTGATTATAGTAGTTATAATAATGTCTTGTCTAAAATGGGAATTTTTAAAGCAGAACGAAACGTCTTTAGCTGGTCCGTTCGGAAAATACGGACGTAAACTAGGTATAGTAGGTTAAATCTTTTTTTCACACGGTATGAAAAACCTTAAGAATCAAAGCACTCATTCATACGCCGACCTAGCCTCGACATTATTTCTTGCAATTCTTTCTCTTCGAAAGCATAGCGAGACAAATTCATAACAACAATAATAATAACAAAGTCAATTTTTTTCAGTAACAGGGTACAAAGTACCCCCAATTAGTGCCAAAACCTGTAGGCTAAGTAGCAAACAGGTTCTGCGCACTGAGCGCGTTGCGGTCATCGCCTTTACTTAAGCAATCGTTTATCGTTTTACTCCATTGGTTTTATTCTTTCTTGCGCCTGTATTCCGTTATATAGTAGCATATTATATAGTATTTATATAGCATATTATATAGTAATTATATAGTAGCATAAAAGGAATGTGTTGTTTCTGTATCTCTGTGCAGTATTTGAAATCCTCAAGAACCAACATCACCAATAACTAGATAGCTTGACTGATGGCAGCAGACTGAATTTCAGCCAGGCAGATGTTGTCCATCAACGAAAGTACACCTTGATTCCTCGAAGCAAATTTGTTCAAGAATATCTTCTCACCCCCCCTAAAAATATCAGGCGAAATAATTTTTCTTCCCAAAAATACAGCAAAGCGAATTCTAGACACAGATTTAAATTACGACCAAAATTAAACGATATATTGTAGAAACGATATGCTTAAGCCAGCCATCGTTTATCGCTTGCTTTTCACCGTTTTAGGTAGTTGTGTATTGTTACGCCCATATAAGAACAACACGTTTCAGTTACTCGATAAACAAAGCAGCTTAACGATTGTTTGCTACGAGTGGCCTGATGTAGTCTGAAGTTTAGAAAGTAGATATCGTTCACTCATACTCGAAACGTCCGACGAGCTGGATAAACTGCTAGGAAGTTCGAAGAAAAAAAAAAGGCCGTTTTTAAAGCAAATTCAACTCGACACAACCAATGAGAACTGCGTTCATGAAAGTTGTCTTTGTTTCTCTGTCGAGGTAACTTGCCAGAGGTGACCAAGTTTAGCACGAGCTGTCAAGGATCGCACATACTGAGAATCGTGTCGATAACAACTCGTTTGCTATTGACTGCTAGCTACTATCCGCGATGAAAGACAATAAGGAAAACAAGCTCGTTCGCTCCTTTTATCGCTCTCCTTGGAGTCGCATCATTTCTAATGATGTCATTATGCATTTTGTTGTCAGCAATAGCATAAACAGTGTTACAGAATAAACCGGCACATTTAGTAGTGCCAACGCAAACGGTATCGACACAAGCTGCTGCACCGTTTCTACTGAATTCGTGCCTTTCAGCATTATGACCTTTGTCACGAGTAACAAAGAAAGCCGAACATACCTAATTGGTGTGATGCGAATACGGCACGACACCCACTGGTCCGGGTCGTGGCGTCGAAAATTTTTTCGATCCTGCCAATAGTCGTTGGACCAGTCAGCTCTTTCCCGTACGAGCACGTTAAACATAAACACTATACGGCAACATGTTGAAACCACAATAAACAAGGATGCGCCACAGCAGCAAATCAATGTCTATCAAAATTTATGAATCAATAGCCCATCGCTACTCAGCAATGTATTGATTAGAATGGTAATGATTTTGAACGTCTCCTGCAGGAGGAAAAGTTTTACATTGTACATAGATCCTTTTGTAACTTGTAGATTAATTGTATGTAAGCAAAGGCTCAAATTGTTATCATTCAAGCTGTATACAATTATTTGCATACGACGATGAAAATGCTAAGAATATTATGTGTTGGGCAAACCGGGCCTTGTTATGCCCAATGCATAGCACAGTCGCTACTTTATATGGTATATGAAATATGTCGGTTTTTAACGTTCAGACGAGCGTCGTGTCAAGCTGACATCTCCCACTAGTCCCTAAAGAATACCACATTTTTGTGTATTATACGATTCGCCGTAACTTCAGCTTTTTGCTACCTGAGAGAACGACCCACGTCAAGTACGTGATCATTAGCTACAGGGTCTAAACAACTGCGGAAAGATAGACGCGAGCTTGATTTGTGCAACGTGTGCTAACGATTTTTTTCGCAAAGCAAGTCCAACGCGACAGCTATGTAGGTAACTATTTTATTTATTATAACTTACCTGTCTTATATTATCCTGATTATGCACCTGAACAGCACAGCTTATGGCTGGCTTTACACAAGCCAAATCAAGTATCACATAAGATTAAGCGTTGAGTCTGTTTAGAACGGAGATTCCTCTGGAATTACGCGAAGAGTTGCGACAACGGCGTTTCGAGTCCAACGCAAAATCCTCTACCTTTTCGTATGAATCATAAGCGCTTCATAGATAGTGATATAACTATCATATACACGATAAACAGTTATTCTGGAAAGCCTTTGATTTTTCGAAGAAATAACGCCATCCCATGTGTAGAAAAGCATGGGTAAAAGATAGGTGGCGTTTATGAGTCGTTAGTCGTAGAGCGTGTATAGAAAGTAAATCGGCTCAAACAATTATGTAAGAGGAAAATGGACTTTAAATAAAGAGTGTATTGGGCGCACTCTAAGTACTATTTATCTATAAAGTTAAGCTTATCTCTTATGTTGTACTTTACCCGAGGTGATGCCACTTAGCGCTCTGAAGAGACATGTCGAGCGATTTCGCGCCGATAGATCCTACATAAATGTCCATTGCACTCGCTGAAAATAATGCCCGAAAATACAAAAACAGAACAAGATCTAATAATTGCTTGACGAGAGAGACTCAGAGATCAAGCGGACGCAGAATGTCAGCGCTTACGACTACTACTGAAGCACGTTTCACAAATGAATTTTTCGGAAATCACGTTAGATCTCAGAATATCTCACGTAAAGATCAAATATGAAAAATAGCAAGGTGCAGTACCTCGTTGAACAACACTTACGGATACAAAACTGATGAGACAAGATCTGAATTCTGCAAATGCGACATTTCGACTCCATGCGAACGACCACTTCCTGTGGATAGTTGCAATACCTGAAATTCGTATATTAACGCACGCGTATGATTGACGAGCATTCATATCAATGACAGCATCTGAAGAAAAAGTTATCATTGAAAAAATTAAAGGAAACATCTTCATCTCATGAAGAATTTACAAAATGAGTCACCTTTGGCTTTTACACCTATTTCAACCATACTCTACTGCTGAAATCGAATGCACCTACACACTTGACGGTCACCTTTAAATCATGTATCTGGTTTTATATATTATTAGATCAAATTATTACTGCTATTTTCCTCATCTGATTAGATCATTTGCGGTAGATGGAGAAGGAAAAGAAGCTACAAAAACTCGTTGTATTGAAGGCATTGGACGAACGGATAGTGAGGACTTTTTAAATAAAGTCCTCACTGTCCGTAGGAGCGTAAAAGTATCTATTTAAAGATACTTTTACGCTCCTACACTTTGTACAGGAGTAATTGGAATACTGGAGGAGGAATATTGATTGAGGTTCGTACGGTCTATGCACTTTTAGGATTCTCGCGATGGGCAAACAGATATCTGTTGCCCCCGCTTGTTAAATGTGCGTCTCCGTAAAATGACATTGTAAACTTCCATTTGTTCACTTTCATCAAGATCCGACACTGGCTTTTGTCGTCCCTAAATGAACTAGATCGGAAACAGAGGAAAATTCGACTACTCGGAAAACAACGAAAATGGCAAGGAAGAAGAGCCGGTTATTACTGTCATTATTACTCTTGTGAACCTATTTCAAGTGTTATACCTTAATGAAGGCCAAACCAAGTCTGTAGTACCTAATAGTACTACGAAGTATTGAGTGCCAATTATTGTATTACTGAGAGAGTACTGAAGTTTGAAGAAAGTTGATAGGGAATTCGTGTATGTACGTGCGTTTATCTTTTTTCGTCCCGTTCCAGCCAAAGGCTTTCCAAGTACACGCAGTGCATAGAGCATTAGTACTGTATGACTAACTCTTGAAGTATTCAAATACATGTTATGTTCGCCCATGAACCTCCAATCATCTCGATACAGCGGTCCAAGCCGTTGGGGTGACAGGTTTACACACTGTGTCGGCCCTTGATTGGCTTCGTTAATTGCCTTGTAACGCGTTGTTATGCTGGCAAACCCGGCAAAATTTAAAATAGAAACATTTTTCCAGCGCTGTAGTTTGACACAACGCTAGCTAAGTTGTGAGCATGATATTGGCTCAACGTTTCCAAGAATCTTCTACGCTCAACTGTGGACTGGAACAGTGCAAGACCAAGCCGAAACAATAACCATTTTTCGTGTCTAACGAAAATAGTTCGACGCTATCCGGCCGCGCGCAACTTCGGTCGTTTAACAACCGGCCTCAGCTCAATAGCCATCGCAGCCAACCGAAGGATTCGTCGTAAACGAAACACGCCGACGGCGGGGGCCTTGCAAGTTTTTTTTATAGGCTTATAAAAACGCAATTGTCTATTAGCTTTTCAAACTCATCAATAAATAATTTTCAGCACGAAAAAGTAATTATACAGATTTCCGTCAAGCCCATAGCTCCTTGAGTGGTAGCAGAACATACATTTACATTTTTGCAAAAAATAGGGTAAAATTGACCCAGAGCTAAGTAATTATAAACCTATCCAGTATAGGAAATACGATTTTATACGTTATTTCACTTCATATATTGTTAGAAAAAAAAAAAAAATAATTACTAGAGCTGTTAGTAGATATACTGAAGCATAATATATGAGTTAGAATTTGCTAAGCGTACCCAATTACAGTTCGGCGACGGGTTACATATTATACTGTTAGCCATAATTGATATAATACACTTCTACTACCGATCAGTAATACGAGCAAGGCAGAGATAGAAGCAAAATAGAAGCCATATTAGTTATTTTTGGTCTACGATGTGCTTACTAATCAACAGTCTGTAACAATATTGTTTTGCTGAAGTCTCGCTCCATAATCTTTGAAAAAGAGACTTCGTCCAACTTCAGTTTTAGTTTCAAGGAAAGCTTGGGATAAACGTAACACAATTCGTCTACTACACTCGCTGTAGCCAAACAGGATTTACTGCCAGTGATTTATCATATTCCGATCACACTTTCGTTTTGAGGGATTTTTGAGCTTTTTTTTTCTCATTGCCCGGTCCCAGCCCCAACAACGGTGTAATGCCCTTGTTCAACGAGCTTATTTTCACTGTGCCACTTTTTCGAAGAGATTCATCACCTCGTAATGATGGGATTCATGATGAGATAAGTGTATAGTTTTTTTTTTTTTTTATTATTAGCTGTCTTTGTAGTGTCTGTTTATCACGGCTTATTTGCCTGCAGTTGGTAACAGTTTCCATAGAACACTATATATACTTCGTGCTAGATTGATATTCTGTTATTGTTACTTACAAATCGATTTTCGAACAGAGTTCTGTCTCGCCTACTTTCGTTCAGCCAAGGTGGCGTCCCACTTTGTTTCTCAGCAGTTAACACGATTGCCGCATCGGTCGACGCAGCGTGTAGTAATATACTGAAGACATATACAGAAATGTGAAGTTGGTACGAAACACGCCGTTCTTGACAACTTCGAAAAAAAAAAACCGTTACGATTTCATTATTTTCTTGGATTGTACGCGGGTATAGCGTAAGGTTTTACGCGGATGTCGAGCGTTTGTAAGTTACTCCGATTTGCCGCTTCGACTTAGCCAGTTTGATAAAAGTGGCCTGACTTGTGGCCCCCTAATTACATTATAATAAAGTTATTTATGGTTCTTGCTGATTTCCAGCAGCATTTGCGACCAAAAGTAAGGTACATTAGGTGTATTAACACCAACTGGCTTATGGCACTATATGTCCTATGACGAATATCTGCATTTTACTACTGTGGTAGGGCAGATTACTGTGAATTTGGCGCAGTATATTCTGTATGTTTTTCTATCAGTAAAGATATATATAAATATTTAGAAATTTTCATGAAGTAGTCAAGAAGTTTTCCAAGGACCAGTTCTGCCATGAAGACTTGTCATTATCCTAATGTAAAATCACGCTCATTTAAATCCAGACCGGCCTGTCTTACGGTTAATATTCATAGAGGTTCCTATTATCTTATTCCAATAGTCACACAAGAATGGTTTCGATAGTAGAAGGATTTGTTTCTGTAAGCGCCCTCCATCGTATTAAGTACGCTTCAGGCCCAACAGATTGTCGACCTTAATGTGTCTTGGTGCTCGACCGTAAAGTGCGTTCCAGTTGTCCCTGGTTGTACTAACGTCACAATTTGCAAAATTAGGTCAAGTAACTAACACAGATTTGCGAACGCGAACCGATATGGCTTAGTTTACTATCGTTGGACAGGCAGCGTGATATAGGAAAACAGGGACTAGATATAGCACTAGGCCAAAAGAAACTGGTATGCAGAAAGTTTTTCCACGCTGGCACCCGGTGTACCTTTTTTTGTTCATAATTGGCCAGAATTCGTTTCACATTTGCTGCCTCTGTCAGCCAGTTCAGCTAGCAACCAAGGATATATAAAACCTCTCGATTCATAAGAATAGATAGCAGTACCTAATTAGTAGTCGCCAGGGAAAAATGGGACACGACTAGTACGTAAGTAGGGTTCCAGGTCAGAACTCCTGGGGGACATACTACACAGCCACTAGAATAGCTCAGGGATAAATAGACGCGCGAGCATTGTGATGCTAGCGCCTGTGAGCTATAGGATTTTAACGGGGATTGGGACCGATTATCATCTACTCCAAGTGTTCGATTAAGCATTTTTCTGGCCTTGCTGAATCCCCTACTAGAACGATGCAAAACGGTCGTTAGTACTCCCAGTAGTGACTGGCACCCAGCTAGAGCCCTTTGTATATAAGCAATATATACTTTAATGTGTTAGTTGTAGCAAATTAATGTTCCCGTGGCCCTCGACGCTGTGTACTACCGACGGAAGTAGTCTTAGAATAACAAAACCAATAGTAATATAGCGATTCCAATAACGACTCTATGCACTGCTTCGCTTGAACCCTAAGCGCTGCACACATAATCAAGACTGTCCGCAAGTTCCATTCAAATTTTCTATTCATTCACATTGAAATCGATTAGAACGTCAGTCTAAATCAAACGATCATATAACTGTGCCATTTTTTTTTATGGACATTGTTTGATTTGATGATTTTTGTCACAAAACCAAGGAGAAATCACCCCGCCATTCGTGGAATAGAACGTCAGAATTATTGCCGTTGCATAACAAAACTAGGACTCTTATTGTTATTGTGTACTAGTTTTGCGCAAAGACAGGCAGATAAATGGGAAAGGCAGAGAGTTAGGAAGTAGACACCATGTATACTAACTTAATAGAAAATAGAAAGCGTAAAATTGAGCTAGATGTACTTGGGCGACTCCGCGGAAGTTAGCAGGCTCTAGTGACGTTCGATGGAAGGTCAGCTAGTTGGATCACTTGTAATTATGATAATTAGCTCATATTTTACATTAATGTAAAAAAGGATGGCTTTTCTCCTGACAAACGTCTTTTCCGGGACAGTGGTTTGCTTCAAACGCGCCTCTGTTTATTGCCCCTGTCGTTATTTCTTGTCATATACGTAGAATAAATAAAAGCTATATTGGATCTGCCTAAACCAGAAACGCCCGTTATCCGTTAAGAGAATCACTTACTTACGTTGACGACGTCTGGCTTGTTTTTAAATTCTCGATCGTGTTGCCTGTATCTCTTTCTAGGCCATCACCCTCAGAAGCTAAGCCTGAGTGCATACGATCCGCAACCACAGAAAAGTTTGCTTGCGGTTCCCTATATATCTTTTTCAGAGCGAAGTTCTAAAACTCCACCTGGACTTATTAATAATCAGTTACATCAGCACGCTTGCTAACTAAAAGCATACCTTTGTCAAAGCACAAATGAAGGTGCTAAACATGCTTCGGCCTAGCTTTAGATTCCATCTTTAGACACACTTCGGTTTGGGCTGGTCAAATCCAACCACCTTGCCTGACGGCAATTTAAAACATACAATTACAATAGA